ATTTGTTATGTCTTGTTCTCTAAGTGTGATCTCCAGTGTATATATATATACATATATATATATATATATATATACATATATATATATATTTAAAAACAGTATATACAGTAGAGAAACAATATATGGAACATATGCATTTCATCCAGATTTAACACCTACCCTGCTAAGTGTTGCGGGAGTCTTGGTGAAACTGTCAGCAGACTTAAAAATGGGATCAGTAGTCAGTGGCTCGAAGTCTTTGCTCTCCACCCAATCAGAAGTCGTGTGTGCTGATGCTTTGACTCCTGACCCCTCCAACACCACCACCGACTCTACAGCCAATAATAAAAACACACATTTGTCATCCACTAAACACATTTAACACACAGACATAATCCACAGATCATTACTGAGCTTCACTACGAGCTGTAGGTAGTGAGGAAGGACGTCTTCAGTGTGGACAAAGCCAGGAGTCCCTTTAAGACCCCGGCCACCAACACTTCTCTCCACCAAAACTTGAGATCGAAGAATAAAAATGAAGATGAACATAATGCAATTGTACACATCATTTTGATTAACAGTTTAACACAACATCAAATTGAGAAATTGTATATCCCTGACAAAAACAAACATTTCCAATCGCTCGTACTGGAGCATTTATGTTTGAGATGGATCGATTTACTTATTAACCACTTTAGTTAGAACACATGGAGTCCAGCAGGGAATAGTGTATGGAATAATCCCTTTTATAGAGGGCAGCCTGAGCATTGTATGTATCCCTATCCTTTTACAGAAAAGCTACAGTACTTTCTTTGATTCTTTAATGGAATTTGAGAACTTTATCAGGAACATCCTGACTAGAACATAACATTGTGGAGGAAGGTATGGATTTGGATATTGTTTTTTTCCGCAGCACTAAACGAATCAACTTACCTGCAAAAATAAAAAAACAAACATGAAGCAAAAACTCATTAATAATGACAGCTCCCTTAACGGCCGTTACCCACCTGTGTTTGAGCGCTGGATCAGATGTGCCTTTCCTCCTGCACTGCTGTACGTTTGGGTTGGGGAATCAGACAGCTGTGTTGGTGCAGGAGCTGCCGTGCTGGTGGGATCACTACTGGTCTGGGTCGGAGGTTCTTTCACTCCTTTCATGGCCATCAGGACACTGGAGAGCTCCTGCAGAGGTATGTTGCCAATCTCAGAGGAGAAGGGACTGGGTGGATTCTCCAGACACATCAGCCAGCTCGTGTTACCTGTGACAACAAACAGTGGAACAGGATGACTGACCCTCCATTAGCATTAACTAATTTACAGTACATACAGAACATTAGGATAATGTGAAACACTGACACCTAGTGACACCATCAATAACACATTTGGTTCATACAAAGCGGTTGTAGTGCTGTCACATACCAGATGGTCTGCGGATGAAGATCTCTGCCCAACCCTGCGTGAGTATAGGGACAAAGTCAGCCAGACTGGGGTTGTCTTTGAAAGGTGACGGAACTGAGGATGTAGCAGAGGTGCAGGGGGGAGTGCCCAGGGGATCAAGGGTCGGACCAGAGCAGTGAGAGGGAGGGGCAGCTAACTCCCCCTCAAATGATGACACAAGAGGACTCAGACTCTGCAAAGGACCTGTGCGTAGAGCATGCCCCCCTGAAATGAAGAGACAGAGAGACCTCGGCCACGTCACCATCTGAGCAGCTATCTTTAGTGTTGATGCACCTGATCTTATTGCATCTGGTCACATGCAAGTTTTACTAACATTCTTATGGCACAACTGACATTGTGCTAAAGCAGTCACATTGAAAAGTAACAGGCTAAAATTTAGCATAAAATGGCTTGTAAATACATTTTTGGCATTCTGCTTTTGCCTGCAGATCCAGAACTCAATGAATTTATTTTTACAAAAAATATTTACTTGGGAGTAACTTGTGAGAAGTAATTCACAGAAAAAAAATCCAGTTCTATTGACTTTTTATTGACATAAATGAATCAAATCTGTGTTAATGCAGTTAATGGTTTACAGTCTATAAGGAGTGGCTGCATATTTGTGACTAAAATGTACATAAAATAATTGACTAATTTATACAAATTAAAACCGACAGATGACATGTGAATTGAATCTGCTTTCTATGTCATGGAGAAAGCACCGGAATATTTTTTTACCTGACATGGAGCGAACGCGGATGCGTGCAGCTCTGTTCTGCTGGCTGGACTGTGACTCCAGTTTAGCTGGAGCCTCTTTGGTAATTCGAGTGTGTAGTGACGGATCTGACCTGAGACCAAGACAGTAAAACAATGATATATCAGAAATGGGGAAACAGAACACTGTGTATGACAGGGATCTGGTTTAAACTGCTTTTCACAATTCATATAGTGTAGTTTTTCTTCCTGTTAAAAATAAATACTTGGGCACAATGTACAAAAAACACACAGCAGGTGCTGTGAATTTCTGGCACCAACTCTCGAAGGGCTTCATACCATTTGTTTTTCTAAGAGACAACAACTGTGGTGATTTTAAAAAACCCTCGCTGCATTTCTAAAGCCAGCCTTACTGTACTTCTGACTGGCTCCCAATTAGGTTGTTGTCTGCTGCCTGTAAATTGATAAGTATTTCATCTTAAAGATTAATAAATAAATAAAGTTTGAACTGTAGTAAAGAAAAACATCACCTTGTAAGTTCCCCCACTCCTCCTGCCAGTCGTTCAGCCATGTCCAAACCCAGTAGTGCCTGAGTTCTGACCCCCGCACTAGTTGTTATAGTCACCAGCTTGTTGCCCACAAGCCAGGTCATACTGCGACCCCCAGCCAACAGGAACTCTGCAATTGGAGATCTACAGGGAAAGTCAGAGACCAAAGCCACAATTGTTAGAGCCTATCTCAGCGTTTGTGCTGCTGCAAATACACACAGCCATTCCAACCTCTTTGGCAGTGCAGAGAAGTTGGAGAAAACGTATCGTGCCATCATATCAAGACAGGTTTCAGTGAGCTCCAGGTGTACAGTCTTCAGCCCCTCATCTGCCTGGGTCACCGCATTTTCATCAGCGGCACCGAGGCTGCATGTAGTGGTTGAAGTGTGCATCCTAAAACAGACAACAAGACAGATGTAAGAGCGGCAGCGTGACTCAAATCAGTTTCATTCATGTTATCAGTGCGGACATGCAGATTCTTATATACCTTAAAAAAAAAATCAAACAAACAAAAACTCCAAAACTTCATGCATAACCTCTGTAAGCACACATGCATTAAGTATGTATGGAAATATTTTTCCTCATGCAATCATACACAGACCCACTGGAACATGACACGAGTAGAGAAACCAGACAAATAACTGTTATAACGTTTTTTAACTTTTATACAAATAGTTTTATTGATACATCCAAATAATGTTGATTTGGTTGATTGTACACCAGCCTTACCAGGTAATGCATTATTCCGCCCCCCCCCAAAAGAAAGGCTAATGAAGAAGAACAGATCTCTCCATTCAGTTACCACAGTCCAGTGTAATTAAACCACTTCACAACAAACATAACCTTGACTTCAGCACTTTGTCCTGTAATATACTAAGAGTATTTTCTTTTTAATTTTATGTCAAAAATTCTCATTTCTGTATTTTCTGAAAAAGTCTGTATCAAACCAGTATTTAATCATTTACACAGCAACAGGTTCTTTGAAGTTTTGTCACTGTAGCACAGGCAATGCAATGTTTCTAAATGGACAACTATCTACACTGGTCCTATGAGATGATTTTATACCATAAACCAGGTATGTCCAAAGTGCCGCCCGGTGGCCAATTGCAGCCCATGGTCATATCTTCAGACATGAAAGGCAGTGTGAATTTGGTGAGAGATGTTTAGATTTTTTTTATCCATGTAATGAAATTCCCTTTTCAATCAAAGCTCCATTTAATTGTCAATTTCCATTAATGGTATTGGTTCAAAATATGTCAGGCAGAAAGGTTGGCCCTCAAAAATGTGAGGATGCCACTGCTGTCGACTATAAAGTACTTTTCAATGGACTAAAGGGTACATTTGGGATTGAAGGTAATGTAGTGGCTGAAGTTGTACTTTTCTAAAAGAGTTCAGTTTATTTATGTTAACAATTTTCCACTAGGCACACAGAGGATCAGCAAGATGAATTATTATTTGAATCCTAAACTCAGATTGAACTGAATTGCTTATATATGGCATCAACTGACTATCAACAAACTATTTTCACTTAAAATTTGGATTTTGGCCTCCTTCCACTCTGAGAGCCCCGGGCCAGTAGAACGGGAGGCGGAGCGTTCAGTTATCTGACTCCTCTCCTGTAAACACGCTGCCAGTGTGGGTTCAGGAGTCCCATTCAAAGTTAGACATAAAAACGTTCTTTTTGATAAAGCTGACATCCAAGGGCCGGCTCAGGTCAACCTGAGAGAGTCGTTTTTTTGGGTTTTGTGGTGAACCATCTTCCACTCACTACTGTATATAAACCCAAATACAAACATGAATTATTGTTATGTTAATAACGTTGTTTTGTATCTCTCACCTAGTGTGTGTGTTGTGCTGTCTGACAAACAGCCAATGTAACAACTATCTCTTTACTCAGGTGTTACTCAGTGGATTCAGGGAGATCGAAAACAACTGCATGTACAGTATAATACTGCAGCACACTACACAGACCAGACAGATCCAAACTTTAAACTGCTGTGCTTTTACTGATATTTTTTGGTTAAGCAGTGTGTGTGTGTGAGAGAGAGAGAGTGTGTGTGTGCATATGTTCTTTGCAACCCTCCTACATTTACCTACATAAAGAGAGATAATCAAAAGAAAAAAAGGAAAAAAAAAAAAAACAAGGGAATAGGTTTTTTAAAAAGCAAGGTTTGTTAGAGCAAACGTGGCACTGGTCCAGGATGATTTAACTGCATGCAAAAGCAAATTATAAAACAAAATGTTTCAACACTGTGTGGATGATTGCAGCCAAAAACAGACCGACAGACACACCCCTGACCCCAACATGCAGTACTCACACCAGATCTCCCCGGCAGAGAAAACCTCCCATCGCCCACCCGACATCCCCAACAACCCCGCATGACAAATAATTAATATCGCATCAACCATTCCATGGTTAAAAAAAAACCCAAATGCTTAGATTGTTGTTGTTTGGTTTTTTTTTGTTACCCATAAGGCTTTTCTCTAACCTTCGGACAGCATGTTCGGAGACACTGATGCTGCGGGAGCGGAAAGCGTCGATGGCTGACAGGTCCCTCAGCTCTTTAACAGGAGAGCCGCTGCTATTGGCTACTGCTGCTGCTGCATTTGCCACTTTTGCCGCCCGTAGACTGAGCGGTGACAACCAACCATGGCAAAGGGCAAAGAAAATGGACCCCATTGTGGTGAGAAGTGAGGGGTGGGTTGTATTGTGGGTGGAAGTGTGTCAAGGATTGCAGCATGTGGCAAAGTTGGCGTAGGGACCAAGGGGCGAACACAACATTTGGGGTGGCGAGGTGTTGAAAGGGACATTAGGATCAGTGGCAAGAAGGGAGTTGCAGTGATGACCACAACCAAAAAGGAAGGATCCAGGATGAGATGACCACCCCCACAATCACAACCACAACACAGCACCGAATCGCAGGAGGCAGAAGAGAGGTCAAATGAAGAATCGGGGGGGAAAAAAACAAGGTGAAAATTAACAACAGTAAACACTATGAATCATATAAGATAAAGCGAAGAAACAAAGAAGAGAAAACAAAGACTAAACATCAAACAAAAGTAAAACTGACACACTCTAGCAGGGGGTAGGATAGCTGCCACAATTTAAAAAAAAATTAGGAAAGCAACCAAAGAATCCATGTTTACATAGTAGGTACAAAGTGAGTTCAAGGACTACTAGAGCAGGCAGTATATTGTGAGAATGGCAAGCCTGGCATCACCAAAGTTAAACAGTATAAACAAATGCACCTGAAAATGAATTCTCAGTCTGTCTAATCTTCGAGTAGAGCACAGAACATCTGGCCAAATACCACAGGTTCACTTCTTCACTGTATTTACTGCACAGATGTTCAGAATTGTCTTTTCATATTCAAACTACATCAGTTAGTCCTATGACGTGAACTGTAGAAAACCTTGAAATTCTACTGGATGGCTTTCGCACCACATCAGAACTTTCTTCTTCTGATCTTAAGACTGAAATCGAGTTCTTTCCAATGTTGTTTTAGTTTTGGGAAAATAGGGTTTTTGAGGGTTGAAAATATTATGTAACATGGCTCTCCCCTTGACAAAGATGTAATAATGAAACTTGTCAAAGCTGTAAGAGATCAGACAGCTTCAAAATATCTGTTTAACAACTTTCTGGCCTAGTTTTCTATGTTTGTTGTATGTTGTTAACTGTCTTTTATATAATATTTCAAGATGTTCCTGCATGGACACTGACAATTTTAACAGAACTCACTGCAGTGAATATTTAGCATGAAGTTGTGAAACGTGTACATGTTTAACGTAAGACAGTCTTAACAGCATTTCAGACAGTTTACCTTCATGTTAGAGGCTAAGCTGTTTTGAATAGTGTTTATTTACAGGCCTGTGTATACTGCATGTATCTTCACCCTCAAGTTACAGATATCACAAATGAATAATAAAACCTATCAACATATGAAATAATCCTCACAAACACTGGAGCAAAATCCAATGCAACTATGGCATTGCATCATCATGCCAGATCACAACACAGACTACAATGACCTTTTGAGGTCATAGTGGTCCTTATATTGTGTATGTAGACCATTGTGTGTATGTGTATGTTTGCATTACCTCTTGGGTCGTTCATTGAGGCTGGTGCTCCTGGCACGAAATGGACTCTGCTCATGACTGTCGTCGAAAGGCAAAAGGGCGTTGGAACGCAAACCCTTGAGAACGACAAAAACATAAAACCACTATGGTATAATCTCAGTCACCATGACAATCGAGATGTAACAACTGGCCGACTAGTGTAAAGATGGAAACAATCATTTAATGTAACTTTAGGTTTTGTTATATTGTTGGTGAATGTATGTAATCTTTATTGATTATTTTAGTCACTAGTCTTGATGTTTGCCAAATTGTCACGCCTACCTCCATCATATACAGTAGGTCATACAGCATCCTTTTATACTGACTACATTAAATATGCAAGCGTTTAATTAAACTTCATTTCTAATTCAGCTGACTGTTAGGCTTGAACGGTTCCAACTCTTAACATTTTGTGGCCGACAAGTAAGGTCCCACAAATTGGAAACATGTACTGAGCATGCACCGTTGACAAGCACTTAAAACAGTGGTTCCAAGCTCTTTTTTGGCCCGTGACCCCAGAGACTTGGGTGGCCAGATGAAAGAAAACAGATGTTTAATATTGTGTGTGGTGTTTTTAAATCACAGTTAAAAAAGAATAATAATTAGTTAAAAAAACATTTTATTATTTTAAGGTCGTGACCCCAAATTTAAAAAACACTGACTTCACACAACAATCACACATTTTTGAGGGTGAAGAAAAAAAGGATCATTGCAATTGGTTGTAGACAAAAATAAACTAATTTTACTTCTTTTCTTTATGGTATTTGACTTTAAAAGGTTCAACATAATTATTTTGTCTCTTTTTTTCCTCCTACGCAGTTCATGTTGAAGAGGTTGTTAACAGAAATGAAAATGAGTGGAACATACCTTAGTTATATACTGAACAAAGTCTTTACGGAAGGGTAGTCTGCAGCGTATGAACCACATTGCGATCACATGATGAGCCAGAGATACGATGTACTGGTTAAACCTGTTAGGAGTTAAAGAAACCGACCGATTACAGACTGTTTCCATTTAAAAGTAAGAACTGATCTCATGTTTGCTTGGGAACTTACTTCGATGGATTGGTGTAGGGTAGAGAGATGGCAAACACACTGACGTACTGCTCGGCTACAAAGTTGGCATAGAGATGGGGGAGGCGCACCAAAGCTATAAGAGTCAGTGGAAGAGACAGAATAATAGAAGTCACATTACCAATAAAAACATGATTATAAAGCGTGTCTTTATCTGAGTTCAATGCATCATTGCATGTTTTCTTTTCACAAAATAAATAGTCTTTTATTTTGTTAAATAGATAAAAGTTAAATTAGATGAACATTTATATTTAGCTCACCAAACCATATACAACGCCAGTCTTTTCATCTTTAAAGCTAAGACTGATGAAGAAATGGAGAAGGGACCAAGTACTATATAGTATATAGAACACTTCATACTTGCATGTCATAAATTTACAAATTAACAAAAACCAAGGATCATCTTCTCTCTTTTGCATTGGGAGGCAAGGGCTCAGCTTTACACACATCCAGCAGTGGGGAAAGGTAAGTGTGAGGAGTAGATAATCCAACAGGTGTCTGTCAAGAGTTACCAAATATCACTATAACACATGAGTCTTTCCATTGGACCATGGTAGTGTAGAGGGCTGTTTTATGGTTACCTCTGTGAATCACTCATATACAGTGATGTATACATCAAAACATACTACCTTTTATCAAGCTATGACCTGGTAAATGTTTAACCGAATAGAAAAAAGCCCAAAAGAGATTGGACAGAGCACAAAAGGTACTGGTAGAATTGATGATAGTAGAGTCAGGGGTGATTTGTGACAGAATTAGTAGAAGTCTTGCAGTGATGTGTATGGAAAAGAGAGAGTGACTCAAAAAGAGAGGAAAAGGAAAGGAATAGAACAGCACTGAGAGACACATTAAAAAAACTGAAAACAAAATTCAGAGGAAAGCTTTCAGTACTCACTGGACAGAAACTCCAGCATTGGAGATGCCATGGCAACAGTGGCAGAGATATGGGTGAGCTTGACTATGAACGCAGGAAGAAGCTTAATCATGATGTCAGGCATCTCCACTGTACACATTGTCAGGGCCACTACACACTGCTTTGCACAACGGTAAATGAGGCCAGTCTCAAGACACTGAACCAGTTCCCTCTGAAGAGAAAACAGTTGTTTGACATTAACACATGAGCCACATCAGGTAACTCGTATGGGCTGATTCTATGCAACTTTTGAATAATGCAAATTTGCATAGAGGAAAGGTGAAAAATAATACAATTCTGTGGGATATATAAAAAAAATACATATATTTGTGGTTTCACAAGAACGTCTTACTTTCCCATGTTACCTACCTGTCTTGACTGCTCTAGATAATTATGGTAGGAGGTAAGAGCTGTGAGGACAGGAACCACTGCAAGTTGAACATCAGTGCGGGAAAATCCTTCAGGAGTCTTTTTTAGACGCTCCGAGATAAGACGATCAGTAACCTGCAAAGACAGACAAGGACGGGAGGATTGTGTGCTACATACATGTTTTCACATATTTATCTACTGTAATTGTTCACGGCATGTATCTTGATAATCAAATACCATGTAGCAGAGATTTGAACAGAGAAGATCTAAGCTGCACGGTGATGTCAGTAGCAGCACTTTATACTGCAGGGTCCATGGCAGCTTGTCAAGAACGAGCTTCAGAACCTTCCAGTCCACTTCCTTGAAGAAATAGTCAGAATACATAAACACTTTAGGTTTTGATTAGAGTGAACAAAATGACAATGGTCTAGTTTGGTTTACGTTACATCGAGGACTCCTCATTTATAAAATATAATGGTTTAGCTTATTTCAATTAAAAAATATTTCTAAAAATGTTAAATTAGCAAAAAAGGGAGCAGCAAGCACACAAGAGGCACATGTACACACAGTACTATAGAGCAGTACTAACCTGAATGAAAGGATATTCAAAAGTATTGCAATTTCTTTTGCTCTTTATTATTACTTTATACTTCCTTATGTATAAAAATGCAGGGGTTATGTGGGTCTGCCTCATGTTTTACATAGTTCACGCACAGATGACTGTGGGATAAACCAGGAGTTGAGCACATAATAAATAATAATGCTTTGAATTTTACTGGGGATATTTACAGCAGATCTGCTGCAGCAGGCTGTCCCTGGGAGGATTGAACCCAGCACCTTCTGCATGTAAGGCAGATGTGTAAGCAGCCATGATAACCGCTACACTGTGGAACCACTAATCATCCGCAGCACTCAGACAGACATTAGTGAGTTAGAAGGTCTTCGCAAATAAAAAAAAAAAAAAAAGTTTGTTGTGCCTCGGGGAATCTACATGTTATTTCCAACTGTTATACTCCAAGGTAACTGCTTTATATTTTATTTTCTTTAACGGTGACAATCGATTTGAATCAATTAGTGTGGTGATAATGGAATCGAAATTGTTATTGTTCCTCACCATCTTCAGGCACTGAAGAATAACACTGAAGGCTGGTGCATACGGCAGATAGGCCGAGCGTACTGAGGATGCTGAAAGAGGAGGAGCCAGGGTGGCTGCACGGTCAGCAGGCGGAGATGTTGTGCCGATTGTCTTCTTTTCATTAACTCGTTTTTCTGTTTCCCTTTAACAACAGAACACACAATCCTTTCATTAGATAAATTACTCCACAACGTACAGGCAATAACTGCGGCACCAGCGTTAGATGTGCGAGCTCACCCTGTGTCACAGTAGCAGTAAGGGCTAAACCTAATGACTCCATCTTTGTTGGGAACGCCAAGACGATGCAGAGAGTCTGCACGCATCATCAGGAAGAAGTCAAATACCTAGAAGGGATCAATGGTTTTAAAGGAAATAAGTCAGATATTCCATTGGTGAAATTAATAATGAAAAATGCAAAGTATTTTTGGCAATTACCTGTAGTCTAATACTGGAGGCAATAGCTGAACAATACTTGTTTCTGTAGTGAAGCTGCAGGTGGTTGATGAGTAATTCATAAACACGACTTGCATGGCTAACAGGAAGACTGTAGAGCTTGCTCTGCAAGTGAAAAAAAAAGCAAAGTTAATGTTATTGTGTCCAATTTCACATTTGTTGTGGAACAACTATCTTTTCATATCTCAGTAATCGTTGTATCCCTAAAGTATGGAGAATACCTGCAGGATTTCCAGTAGGCCAAGAACAGCTGTCCTAACATCCTCCACAGGAGACTCTAGTGTTGGGTCTCTTTCAGAAAACTCGGGGGTTTCTGAACACACCAGAGAGCAACTAGCCACCTGCAAATTCAACAAACCCTGTGGTCATGTCTGTTCTCTGCTATGTATGCTAATGATGAAAATGAAAGGTTGAATTTAAGACTGCATACTCGCTCGATGATGTCCAGCAGGCTGGTGAAATGGTGTGTGTTACATCCTTCGGCAAGATCTACAAGCAGCTGTGTGGCTTGTTTCCTGACAGCCAGGTCCCGGTCTTCAGCTATACCACTGAGCAGTGGAATTACCACTATTTCAATTAACTCATCCTGGAAGAAATCAAAAAGGTATACAGTACTCAAAGAAACAAGCAAAACTTAAATTAAGTTGTGTGCATACACTTAATTCTTGCAGACATAAAACAAAACCAAAGATAAGTAGTGTGCACGTCTGTGTTATTTTTCTATCTGTCTATCTATTTCTCTATGGCAGACATGACTCCAGACACTGGGACTTAAACTGGAGTTGGCTAGTTAAACACAGCAATTCAGAAGTTGACTTGACGATGTGGATGCACTGACCTCGTACAGCTGTCTGTTGGTGCTGAGGACGAAGGACAGGATGTGAAGCACTTTAATCCTTATAACACTGCGAGTCTCATTCCTTAAAGAGAAATAGTGGAGGGGGCAAAGGATTAAAGTAGAAAACAGAAATCATCATCGATCTGACCACTAATGTTATGTCAAGACTAGGACTGGGCAATGTTTAAAAGTTTTAATTGTGATTAATAACATTTTTACGCAAAATCCAATAATCAATTTTATTTGAAATGTAATGCCATATGAACACGTGTGTCAGTGTTAATTAATAAATAAGTTAATGTAGGGTTATCACAAGGACTGATACCCTGGTACCAAGTCAATGCCAACACGCAGAAAATCCATCATTGTTATGACCGTATCTATGAGTTAACTCTTGGCTGCTGGTACTACAATTTAAACACTGATTCAATTCAAAAAGATGTTGAAGCACAGTGAACTTAAATACTTGACCGTTTGAATAAGTATTGTGAATCGTGGAAATTCACAGGTATTGGTATGGACTGCTGAAACTGAAGTTAATGGCATAATAACGTGTTAAGTTGCTCAGCCCTCGTGAAGATATAATCAAGCATGTCAAAGAGTAAGAAAGTTTCAAGTCTTACTTAAAAAACTTCTCCATTAGATGATAAAGGCTTTGAATCCAACCATCCTTGGCTGGCTGGATGGACTGGGCTCTATATGAGATGAGGGTCAGCACTGATGCATCCTGACAAATAGAAAAGACAACGATTTCCAGGAAACGCTGCAGCATATTAGCAGATTAATACTTTGACGGCACAGAGAGCACTGACAGGTCTTTTGTCGGCACATTTCTCCACCAGACTGAAGAACTTCTCTGTGGACCCGTGGTAATCATTCTGGTCATAGAGTTCCTCCACTGTGGTCAACAGCTCATAGACAATGACCTTTAACTCAGCACTGCCTATCGTCTGAAACAGAGATAAAGGGGGGATGTGGGGGGGGCAGCATAATTACTAACTAATGTCTTCAGTAATTTGTTTGATGTCTGTGCAAGAATAGACAACTGACAAGCCAGATACCTGGATTTGCTGCAGCAGTCGTTCAATGATCCCCAGCAGGATGTCCCAGGTGACCACCTGAAGTTCCTTGCCATACTTTTTGATTAGCCTGGTGATGGAGAGGACGATTTCATAGGAAACCACCTCATTGGCACACGACATAGCCTTATATCAAGATAAGACACAAACAGTCAAAAAGAGGCAAATATTTGCCCATATTTGTTTTGAGATTGAATTTAGTAAATTAGTTACAACATTTTGTCCAAATGCCTGTACAAACGTGTTACCTTATAAAAGGATGGCAAAACCAGTGTGGGTGTGTTTTTGAGGGCAGGGAGTCTGTGTGCCCCCCAAAGTGCCATGCCAACAAAAAATACAGCTCCTCTCAACAATGGAGCGTCCTCCATGTACACCCTGTTAAAGTTGTAGGTTGTTAATGGGGAATAGTTGTACACAGAAAATGCCATGTAAATAATTCGCAGCACAGAATCCCCTAATCATTAAAAAAATGGAGCAATACCTTTCCTCCATGATTCGGCACATAGTGTAAATGGCACTGTGGCCTAGATGAGTCCCTAACACCTTCCTCATCAGCTGAAAGACAAAGAAACACGGCATAGCAAAAGAAAAAAAAACAGAGGAAAGGAAGTTATGCACCATTCACCCAAAGCCTGTTGTGAATGAATGGTGTTTTTGGTTTATATATGTGTTCTTCTCTCACCTTCCAACAAGACTCACAAAACTCCTTGACATTTACGGTTCGACAGAGTGTGATGATAAAGACAATGAGAGAGTCTGAAGGCAGGCAGTTGTAACACACCACAGCATCCAGTACTTGAAGCGCAACCTGTACACAACATACAAAATCACCACACAAGTGTCGACACTCAATTTGAACGCACACTAACATCAATAGCAGCGTTTGTTATTTTTCAAGAGTACATGAAGAAAAAAAAGATTATAGATAAAATAAGTTTTCTAATCAGACATTTAAGCACTTTAACAATCCACTGTGTCCAGTAAATATTTACATGTATTGATGTTTTGGAAACTAAAAGCCTTTTATGTCCAGATATAATGTAAATTTTCATCATTAAAACACCATGTCCCTATTCCTACTGAGATCTTTAGACCTGTAACAAGAACGGTGAATAGCACCAGACCTCTAAGGCCTAGAGGACAATATATAATGTAGAATCCAAATACCCACCTCAATATCAGTGGATGATATTGTTCTATTGCACAAAAGACAAATTTTCCTGTAAAAAAAACAACAACAAAACAAAACAATAGAACAAGATCAAAAACAAGGTTACAGACTAAATAATATAAATAAAATATATATAAAGGACTTACTGGACCATGACTGACACATTTTGGTCCAGGTAGCAGCTATTGAACTTCACCAGGTTTACAAGAACATGGAGAAAGTCTGATGTGAGACCTATGTCCATCCACAGGAGGACAAAGAAGGCTAAAGAGGTCAAAGAGCAAGAAACACTCATTTAGAAATACATAAAGCTTTGAGTAGGGTGTTTAATTTTTTGAAGTCCACTCCAAGAATAACAAAAAGATGTTCTGAGCATAGACGGCTAATTAATTCTCTGTTTCAAAAGAAAATGTTTGTGGGCATAAAGGCATAAAGATGAATAAGCATGTCTGATCTGTCACGTTTTTTGTTTCTGTTGCTTTGAATGTTATTAGATTGTATTTAAATGTACTGTAATGTAATGTTGCACTGCCACATTTACATAGTAACAGATAAAAGCACTAGATCTATTAACAGTTCTAAACGTGTTTAAAGCCAGTCTACATTTCCTCCCTACTAAGAAAAAGAGGCTTCAGAGAGCTTCATTCTTCTTCCACTTCTTCTGTCAGCTGCTCCCTCCACACGTCACTACAGTAAATCATCAGCCGCCACCTCACCGCATCCCTTGCATCCTGCTTTTACACTAACCATCTCGTTCACAAATCTTCATCATCTCTTCTGGCCTGGCAACTTCATCTCTAACATCCTCTGACCAATATATTCAGTATCTCACCTCAGCACATGTCCAAACCATCTCCATATTGACTCTCAAACTGTATATCCAAACTGCTGCACTCTAACTGTCACCTCTGATCCTGTCCATCCTGGTCAATCCCAGTGAAAATCTCAGAATCTCCAACCCAGCCTTTTGTCTAATAAACAGAGCCACTGTCTGTAAACAATACGTCACAGCAGGTCTCACTACGTCTTGTAAATATTGATGGCAGAAATTAAATCCCAATCAGTGGATAACCATTAAATGAAAGTGTGTTTGACAGCAACGTTTTAGATTTACAGATAAATGTAGTAGAAGTGATTGAAGACTCAGACAATAACAGTGCATAAGTTCATTCTGTTTTACCTATGTCTTCCTCAAGATATGTGATATCTTTTCCATCTTCTGTTAAGGCCTTGAAAACATCCAGCCTATAGGAGAGGTCTTCATTGCTTGGTTGGTAGTCTCTGATCACTTTGAAAAAATAAGCTCTCAAAGGACCAAAGTGTTCTCCCTGTAGATGAACACACAGTATGCTGTTAGGATATAATAAGCCACTTTTTGCATTTTGACTTAACAAGTATGCATGGACTGTACCTGTCCCTGTATAATAGCCTTTAAAAGCTGTAAGACAGCGTGTCGGGCTTCAGGTGGCTGCTCTGGAACCAGCATATCCTCAACTGATTTCCATACAGTTTCAACTGCATGCTGAAAAAAAATGATATATGGTATACGAATGTTTGCAAAATAATTGACGTAAACAAACTCAAATGATTGTAGATTATAATAATAATAATACAATATTACAACTTAAGCAAACATACCTCTTCAAATTTTTTTGTTTTGGCAAGTTCACAGACATAGTTAATCATACGAATTCTTGTATTGAGACCACAATCTGGGTGTAGCTCCTGAAACAGAGTGATGTGAGAGGCCCACAAAGCATGATGGGAACAGTTCAACAGCACTCTACGTGAAAGTGTGTATACATGTGAAGAGATTTTTCTGCTCACCTTTATGATGTCATTTGTGATTATAATTTCAGATGATTTTGAATCACTTTGTCGACTGGGTGGGCGAGCAGGACCTAGCCCAAATATCCCCTTCACCTTATCCTTCAGGCTCTCCTTGCTCGGTTGTTTATTCATGACCAGGCCTTGATCAGTAATTTCAATAGTCTAGAGTGGAAATGTCAACTGCCTAAAGAAACAAAATTTGCAAAAGGAAATTAGTTATTTATGTCATGTCACAGTTACAAACTGTTGTGTATGTTAGTGACAAATTGTCTGCAGCAGTACAATGACGTACACACACACAATAAACTGTTTTTACATTGCAACGCCACTGCAGTTACGTGAACTGACCCCTTACAACTTTGGAGTTTATACCTGAAACTGAAGTCTAACTGTAAATGTTGCAATCTCAAAGAAACGAGAGAGAATGACGGTGAACAGAGGTTATGACTATTCCGTTACAGCTCAACAACCGGCACAGCGATATTGTTAGCAACCATGCAAATGCAAACACAGCCGTAAACAGTACAAAAACAGAATTCATAAGCAGTAGATAGATACAACAGCACCATAAAGCCACCAGAGGCGCCTGCACTGCTGTCTGTCACGGACTTACCTTTGATAATCTAAGTCTGTTTAGAAGACGACGCTTCCCATCAACTCTTGCAATAATGCAGACGTTCGCTTCTTCATTTAGTCGAACTGTCATCTACAACCATCGAGGTAAGCATAGGCGTTAATGTCTATGTAGCTGGAAGAGCTTTCTTGTCAAAGCTCAGCCCAGACTCCATAACCGGATGGGACAATAAATCGTGGCAACCCTACTTCCTACAAAAACACCTTAGTCGCGGTCGTTGACGGGGGGTGTAGTTTTCTGCGCAAACTGTGCTACTCACGATGCTAAACGTCGTTCGTCTGTCTTGTTTAAAGTGTAAGCCGTAGACAAAATAATTTGTTTGCATTTCTACAAAAATATTCAGGAGAAATTTTCAGTATTTTTATGGAGTCGTTTAAAAAGTGTAGTTGGTTGCCTTTTCTTTGGTTGAGTGAGAGACATGTATGACCCGCCCGCTCTATCCGATTGGCTAATACTCGTTGTCTTCGTTGGTTCGGTTGGTTGTGTCAGTAGTCATCCCGGGAACACCGCCCCCCTCTGTCATGGCGAATGGCACCAAACAAAACAGATTCACGGGCGAAATGGGTGAGTGAACTTGTATCACCACCAGTATCGAATTGGGCAAACTAATAAATCAATATCGACAGATCAATAAAGTAAATATCAAACGTAAAGCGCTGGTAGTGGCTGAGTTGGGGTCATTTTGTCGATCGTTTGTTTCCGTTGTGAGATCTGGAAAACAGTCTTCAGTCTGACCATTCAAAGTTACTCATTTAATTACAAACGAATGAAAATAGCCAATATCAACAACCCCTCCTCATTAATTGACTTTTTAATGTGATTTTTTGACATTTATCTGTAACTTGCAAAATTAAAAGTGCAAAGATTGATCCTGTCATCCGTGGCATATATAGTGGCATATATAGACTATAAACTCACCCACAGGTAGACGGACGTGGACGCTGTCTCCCCTGCAGCAGTTATTTCAAAGCCAACAGCCAGGACGTTCTTCGGCGCCTATTTTCAAGGGTAAAAGTGTATACAGAGAAATCTGATTTAATAACTGTGCACATGTTTTTAAGGGTACTTATTAGTGGGATAAATTAAGATTTGCGATACGTATACAAGTATATAAAAGCACAAAGAACAACTTAGAGTCACAGCTTTGCAACTTTTTAGAATTTGTATCTCGTAATGGTGGCCTTACAAAGGTATGATTTATATTTGGCCAACGAATAACCCTGAATTCATCAAGACATTGTTGCAAGTTGCATTTCCCAATGGAATGCTTTTTCATTTACTATTTATATTTAGGGACGTTCAATAATAATCATCCTGTACCAATGTATCTCGGAAACTGCAAATTTGTTAATGAAGTAAATTTGTGTAAAAACTGTGTTTGTAGTGCAGATCTTTTTACTACTTTTTTTTTCTCATCATGTCGACACTCAGGTAACGTGAATAATTTAAGTTGATTTCTTTGCAGATAAGAAAACGTCCTCCAAGCAGAACTGTGTGCAGCAAAAATCTGAAATGGAACCTTTACCACTGTCTTTACACAGACAGAGATTGAAAGTGGAATATGATGACGACAAAGTTGTTGCACCTGAGATAAAAACAGAACCATGGGAACCTCCTAACTGGGAGAAACAATTAGGATTCATCCGTGAGATGAGGAGCCGTCGTGATGCACCTGTAGATTACATGGGAGCAGGAAAGTGCTTTGACACAGAAGCCCCCGCACATGTAGGTACTGTATGATTAGGATTTCTGTCTGTCTACATAAGTCTTTACACTATTGTTTTTGTTAATTATTTCTTCTTTTATTGTAGGTACAAAGATTCCAAGTGTTGCTATCTCTTATGTTGTCCAGTCAGACCAGAGATCAAGTGACAGCGACAGCTATGCACAAGCTGCGAGTACATGGATGTACTGTGGAAAATATACTGAGCACAGATGATGAAATCCTGGGGAAACTCATCTGTCCTGTTGGTTTCTGGAAGGTAGCACAGCTTAACATTTTGTCCTGTCACAAAATATAATATCAAATTTAATCCGTGAACCTTAATTTTAACTTCTATACTCCTCATATATTCTTTGTCAACATAAAGCTAAGGAACTTCATGTTCCTTTTTATTCCACTATGCTTCAGAAAAAAGTCAAATATATAAAAATGACATCAACAAAGCTACAAAAAGAGTTTGGAGGGGACATCCCAAACAGTGTGGAGGAGCTGGTCAGTCTGCCGGGAGTTGGACCAAAGATGGCTCACCTGGTTATGGACATTGCCTGGGGCCAGGTGTCTGGCATTGGTAAAGAGTACTCATTCTTTCAGTAGTATTTGCTGTAAATATGCACATGGATTGGGGTCCAAAATTCAGTGTTTCTAAGTAGGTCAACTTAAACACTTAAACCATCTACTTTTTGCGATTTGAAGTGCCATTGCTGGTAAATAGTAAAACAATGAACAATTAGGGCTGTGATTAAAATGTTTAATGTGTAGGCAGATCCACTCACCACACTGTACAGCTGAATAATTCCACCACCATCCACTGTCAAGATGCACAGTGCTGATTAAAATCTAATTCACTCACAAGGTGAATAAAAGAACACAAAGTTTTTTTTTTTATTTGCATATTTTTGTGATATCGTTTTAATAGTTACAATAATAATAATAATAACAGGTTTGAAATAAACATCTACATGCTCTTAATGTTTGTTTATCTTGATAAGGCATGGCTAATTGTCTTTGGTTAAGGTGTGGACACACATGTGCATCGCATCTGTAATAGACTTGGCTGGCTTCGAAACACATCCAAGAACCCGGTAGAAACAGGGAAGGCCCTGGAGGAGTGGTTGCCAAGGTGATGTGAAGGCTAAACACTAACCTGTACAACTTGATTAACTTACTGACTTCAAAAACACTCACAAAAAAATAACACTTCTTTCTTATTAGGGACTTGTGGAGTGAGATAAACTGGCTACTGGTGGGTTTTGGACAACAGATTTGTTTACCAGTCAATCCTCTCTGCTCACTGTGTCTGAACCAGCACAGCTGTCCCTCTGCCCACAAGAAATCTCCTACTAAGAGGTCCAGAGCTGGTCACTCAAGCTTGGAACATCCAAGTGTACAAAAGACTGAACCTGCAGAGGATAACACTGACTACAAAAAATGACCAGAAGACAACGAAAGCTGAACATTCAATCTTTAGAAGCGAAAAGATTTCAATCATTTCTGTTTTCAAACCAATATACATCATTTGTTCTCTGTTTCACACTGTAAATAAGTTAGTCTGTTTGAAGTTTGCATTTTTTCTCCACGTTTGAGTGGGTTTTCCCTGGTACCAAAGTTAAAAGTTGTGGAGTTTATGAGTGTAGGTAATAATATGAGAAAGGGAAGAATTCATCTGTGCTTTTGTATTGATATACAGACGATGTTGCACTGGTCTAAATGCCTTGTTAGATGATATCTTTTCCATTGATTTTGAATCAATAATAAAATCCTTATAGTTACTGCTTGCTGCTCTTCACTACCATTAGTGAGTGTGTGTGGGTGGATGGTTGTACCAGTATAAACGAATTGAAATGTAATAGCAACGAAACGCATATTTTTTCTCTGCATTGTTGCTTTGCTGGTTCTCAGGCGTGTTCAGGGCTGGAGAACGGAGATGAACCATCTCACCGTTTACACCTACCGACGGTCTTGGAACCGCCCTCGACCTGCCCACCGACCTGTGTCCTTGTCTGAGAAGCCTGAGACAGTGTTCAGTTCACTAGTGTCTGCCCAGCGTTTGGTTATCGGTCTGGAGGGTGTTGACGTCTTTCACTGTCACCATAAGATGGACGGAACAATTGCAGTCTGATGAAAAGGCATCATTTCGCCAATTAACGGAATTAGGTGTGCGTCCGTGATTTTTCCGGATTTACGCAAACTTTAATCTATTAGAGATGTATTCTAATTGTTGTGGTCGCTGCTGAGGTTTCTGGTATTGCTATTATTCTATACTGTTATTGGACTTTTATCTTGTTTAAATATGAAGTTGGTTTTGGTCCCGAAGCGCGCAACAGCTCGTTGGATTACGTGTCCAAGACTTTCTCAAACTCTTGGATAATCGTCATCTTATTTTCTCCACACACCTTAACCTAGTTTCTCCATATTGTCGTCCTGTAATGGAGAGTTGGCTTCGACCCAGACTCTGTTTTGTGACCAAAGGACCGAGCGGGTATGGATTCCACTTGCACGGTGAGCGGAATAAAGGCGGGCAGTTTATTCGCAAAGTCGAGCCGGGTTCTCCAGCTGACCTGGCCGGACTGAAACCTGGAGATCGGGTGGTAGAGGTCAATGGGGAAAATGTGGAAAACGAAAGTCATTGTCAAGTAAGTCATGTTTAAAAAAAAAATCAGGGCCAAACAAACATCACGAATGTTTAATATTTATTAAGAATAGCCCGACAATCTCAGAGAAAGAAAAAAAAAACAGTGATCGTTTTACTTGTTGGACGGCTTTTTTCTCTCTTTTGTCTGAGGAGCAGGAGGGGGAACTACAAAATGGGTCACTGAGCTTAGTGTAACGGAATTCACTGGGCTTCTTTGTCAATATCTGTTACTGTATATCAGGGGTGTTAAACATATGGCCCGTGGTCCAAAACCATCCCACTAGGGCAGTGGTTCTCAAACTTTATATCCTCTGTACCACCTGAGAAAACACTGATCTCTCTGAGTACCACCATGATGACCAACATTAGAATACAGCAGCAGAGGCCTTCACTGTTAGCTTCCACCACAGGAGAGATGTTTAGAAATGTTTATGTTTAAATGTTGTATTAATTGTGCATGGTATGTTTCAGATTTATTCAATTGAAAATGTAAATGTGAAAATGTGAATTTTCCCTGCGTACCACCGGTGGTACCCGTACCACAGTTTGAGAACCACTGCACTAGGGGGTTCAATCCGGCCTGCTTGATGAATTTTGAAAAAAAAAGCAAAAACACTTTTTTTTATATACTTGTACTTTTTTGCATAACATGGGGGGGGGGGGAGGGGCATATATATTGTTATTTATAGGTAATTATGTCACGATTGTACTAGTCCGACCCACTTAACGTCTAACCAGGCTGTATGTGGCCCCTGAACCAAAATGTGTTAGCCAGTCCTGCTGTGTATGGACCATCAACATGTTTTCAGTGACTCAACAATAATCCCTGTCCCACTGCTCTGTCTTCCAGGTGGTGGAACGAATCTCTGAAGTACCTCATCGCACAAGGCTGCTGGTGGTGGACAGAGACACAGAAAAATACCTGAAAAGCTGTGGTCTGGCATGTACAGAGGACCTAGCTGTTGAGATGGGAACGCTTTCTCCACGGATCTCACTCCCATACAGCCCCACACCTTCTCCAATACAAAGAGAGACGCCCTCTCTGTCACCTACATTCAAGTACGCACACTTATTTCACCCTTCTGCTGGAGACTCGCTCACACGGGAAATCACACGAGACAAGGTCAAAAGAGCCTCCCTGACATCAAGTACGGCCACTGACATAGAGGTGAGTTTATGACTGTGACAGAAATGTCTTGGTTTGCAGTGAAGGGTTCTAGTATTTTTGATGTGAAAATATTTTGGAACCCGTGAACTGTGGCTGACTCTACCATGATTTTTCGGACACTAAGCAAATTTTGCCTGATGTTTATTCCACACTAGCGAATGACTGGCCTTACACGTTAACTTTATTCACTCTGACACATAACAAACAGGACCAGATATGCAAAAGCTTAAGGAAATAATAAGTCTTTCAGCGTCCCACAGTGGGGGAATTCATAGTTTTTACAGCAGCAAAGTACAGTAGAGTATAAGGAAGTAAAGTATGTATATATTGGTTTGCATTTTTGTTGAATGTATTTTTGCTGTTGAGTTTGCAGATAGATAGATAGCACTTTATTAATCCCGCAGGTGTTCCCTTTGGGAAATTTAGGATTATACTGTGAAATATTGCAGGTCATAAATATACAGTATCTACTAATATAATATAAATAAAGCTGGAATAACAACAGAACTGCTGTTCTTTAGTAGAACAACTAAATACGTGACAGTATAATTGGTTCAAATCACGCTCACTCACCTCGTAACATTTAGGGGGCGCTGTTAAATGCTCTCTCAAAGAGGAGACGATAGTTTTTTTTATTGAATGACGGTCGATTTTCACTGCCTCACTGAACTCACCTAAATACATCGGTTTTGTATCAGTTGGATTACTGTTAAAATTGAAAAGCTTTTGACTCATGTATATGATTTGTGTGTTTTAGTTCTTCTCACCTGACTCTAGACAGCAAAGACAAAATTCCTTTTCTACCAAAACCCCAGCTGTTGCTTACTTCCACTCAGCGAATACTGTGTGTACAGAAGTCCCAGATGTAAACCAAATACTCTTTATTTTGTGTTTACATTGTCCTCAACACCCAATGTTTTGTATACAAGGTATAAAGGAAGATAAAAACAAGACCTTTGTCTCCTGTGAAGCGTGTGTTTTTACAGATGGCTAAGCTAAGGCAGTGGAATAAGGGTTTCATCAAACTATTCAAGTTTTGTCTGCTTTCTTTTTGGAGAAAATGATTTTGAACGCTGGTGGGCAAAGAATACAAATAAGGAGGATCATATTTTATATGAATTGTAACTGTTGTGCGCTTTGTTTTATTACTCTGTGTCCACAACACACGTACAGATAAAAAATAAATGTTAAGGCTGGACCAGTGAGCAAGAAACCTTAAAGAAACGCTGATTTTTAACACAAATATTAAAAAATATATATATCATAACAGACACAGTAGATGATTTTAAAGGCTGTGCCAGCAGGATTCTGGTCCTTTTAGGTTCTGGTTAAGTAACGCCTTCCACTGATGCATCATAAAAAAATCAAAAATGCAGTTTAATCTGCCGACTTTTCTAGAATTGGAATTTGTAGATCAAAGATTAAACTTCATGTTTTGATTCCAAACAAAGTGTTCTGGGATTCACACTGGCGCCCTCATAGTCCAAGGCAGGGTAAATACAGGCAATACTGTAGAGGCAAATAAAACAGGCGCTGCAGCAGTTCTACAGAAGAAACATCATGAAAAGAGTTCTGTTGGACACGGTGTAGATCAGAAAGACATGGACAGATTTCTACAGTTATTCCTGTTGTTTGGTGTTCAGGCAGGTCCTCAGTCATAGGTGTGGTACGTGTCACTATTTTTAAAATGTTATAAAACCTCTGTGTTATGTTAGCTTATTGGTTTTTGATAATCTTTCAGCTATTTAGTCCGTTTTGAGGAAACCACCTGGACCAGGACTGGTGTTAAGGGTTGTTTGGGACTGTGCCACTGAGAAAACCAACGTTTTTTTGATAATCAGCGCAAAATATGGTTAATTTTGACAAATGACTGGATTCACTCAATTACAATTGCCTCGTGACACATGTCGAGGGCCACACAGGTTAGGCTTTGACAATCCTACTCCAAGTGCAGCTTTAATTCAACAGTGAGTCAAATGTGCTGAACCCTCCCTGTGTAATATGTGGCGTTCAGCATTATGGTGAGTTGATATTTGCTTTTATATCAGTTTCATTTTTTTTTTTTTTGTTACATTTGTTTTACCACACCCCAAAGACCGGTCTGTGAGAATATTGCCTTACATGAAACGGGTCAGTGGCACAAAATCTGTGGTGGTAAACAAAACTTTATGGAACAGACAGAAACAAATTGTTAATATGAAAACGTGTTGATCTTCAACTGGTTGTGATCCTCCGTCAACATTGTAAGCATTATGGTGTCTATTATGAGACCCAAACTACAGAGTCTCTATCAGTGCAAGAGTGCTATACAGTATAAATGTAATTCATGTATTTATACTCTCTGTTATTCATGAAGGAGGTAAAACTCTGCCTTTGTCACGTAAAAAAAAAAAATTAGAATTTATTTTCATTTTATTTTTAAAATGTTCTGAACTGACCTAACCGTCTGAAGGCTTCTTCCTAAATTCTTTTGGTTCAAGTTTTCAATTGTTGGACTTTGTTGTTGACTTTTTGTAGCTGCAGTTGGACAACACGTCACAGTCAGTGTCTACGCTCCTTCCCCGACTGTGCCATCTGGTGAGGGGCAAGCATGGCTTTGGCTTTAACCTGCACAGTAATAAGACAAAGCCTGGACAGTTTATACGATCTGTTGACCCACATTCAGCAGCAGAGAGAGCAGACATCAGACCTGGAGACAAACTGGTGGAGGTAACTTGATCAGACAAAGGTCTGCTTCCACATCTGCTTTAGTAAAGTCATGGTTAAATGTAATTCACTAAACAAACTTGCCAAACCGAGAGATTATACTAATAAAATAATAAATAAAATGAACGTATAAATAGTCAAAATTACACATATGTAATATTGTAATGTAATGTACTGTATATATGAGTGCTAAGTGCACCATGGGAGTTTTCCCAACAGTCTAGGCTACAGCAGGATAGCAAACAGATCACTCAGCTCTACTTGAGCCAGCCCTACATACACTGTAGGCTTAATCAAGATTGAATGAAGGAGTGATGAGACCTAATGAAGGTCGTTAATGACTTATTAATGACGTCAAATGATAGATTAGATAACTGGTAGTTAAACGAGTGAAAGTCAGCCAAATAAAATATGTCAAAAGTCAAATTGGCTTAAGACGTGTGTATTTCTTTGTGTCACAGGTGAATGGAGTGAACGTGGAGGGCCTGAGGCACTCTGAGGTGGTGGCGCTGATTAAAACAGGAGGAGAGGAAATCCAGCTCCTCATGGTTGACCAGGAAACAGACGAGCTCTTTCGCAGACTAGGAATCACCCCTACCAGCCACCACATCAACGGTCACATAACAGATTAACACACTCACACACAGTGTTGCTGAAATATGTCACTCCACCCACTGCCTGTTTAAAGTATGAGTGTTTTTGTGCTCCTTGAGACAGAGCTTGGGAAAAATAAATTGTGGGTATTATGGAGCTGGAAGAAGAGTGTCAGCTAAGGTGAAGGGAAAGGTTTACAGGACGGTGGTGAAACCGGCCATGATGTATGGTTTAGAGACGGTGGCAATAGGCAGAAGACAGGAGGTGGAGCTGGAGCTGGCAGAGGTAAAGATGCTAAGATTCTCTTTAGGAGTGACAAGAATGGACAGGATCAGGAATGAGGTCATTAGAGGGACAACACAGACAGGAAGGTTTGGAGACAAAGCTAGAGAAGCCAGATTGAGATGGTTTGGACATGTGCAGGGGAGGGACAGTGGATACATTGGTAGAAGAATGTTGGAGATGGAGCTACCAGGTAGGAGAAAGGCCAAAGAGGAGATATATGGATGCAGTGAGGGAGGACATGCAGATAGTTGGAGTCAGAGGAGAAGATGCAGAGAACAGAGAGAGATGGAAATCAATGATTCGCTGTGGCAACCCCTGAAAAAAAGGGACAAAGCCGAAAGAAGAAGAAGGAGCTGGGGTGTATTCACAAACACAGACTTTGGAAATAGTTTTAGTTTAAATTGTTAGCAGTAATGGATTAATGTGAAGAGCCATTAGTGGTTTCAGTACTTTGGTGTGTCCTGGTGTGTTGGTAGATTGCTTGTATTGTATCTGAACATTTCTAACAGTCACTCTTGCTTCCGTCCATCTCCAAACTGCTGACATCGCTGACCTTCTTAAACAATGTAATCACCTAAAGCTACTTGTATATTGTATTAGCATGTCAACTCAGGGCAGCTCTTTGTCGCCAGATACCACCAACTGTTGCGATGTCATTCAAGACTTAGCGCCTAGAGACAAGTCTAATGCTACTCCAGTGAAGAATGGTGCTATTCTGGGTCCAAGTCATGACTGGTCAGAGTGTTTTCCTGCCTTTGGCCACAGGCTCCACTCTTTGTTGTCTGTGTAAAACTCAAACATAAAGAAATAAAAATACACAAATTAGGAGGATGAGGATAAGTATGGACACTACATTCTGTAGCACAGTGGCACACCACCAAACAAAAAATCTCACAAAAAATATATGTAATGAAATATATATATAATCTTCTAGTTTAAATGACCTCATCATTGACTAAGATCTCAGTCTGTTTAGTTGAAGACGACGCTGATATACTGGCAGGAATTGAAGAAAGACACTTTCATGAAAAATTCTATGCAATAAATAAATAATAGTTTTCAGCTCAATTAAGTCAAATTAAATCATTTTCCACGGCACACCAGTGTGCCACGGCACAGTGGTTGGGAATCACTGCTGTAGCAGCTCTGGATTTCCTGAATTTCTATTTTTTTTTTTTTTTTTCAGAGGTCTTTGTGGACAGACCAGCTTCAGAACACATGCTGAACACTCCTCCTGTCGAGCTCTCTGCCACAGACACACCAGTCATAAATATGACATTTACAGACACCACAAACAAAGAAGGATTCGCGCAGTGCCGTGCGTATAGGAGCTCAGAATCCTATTCCTCCAGGAGTTCCACTTCACAGTCAGACGTCAACAGCTCAGAAATTAGTTTTCAGGTGAGAGTCGTGTGTCTTGACTAGGATTCAGAGATTTGAGGTCTGGAAGTGTGCAAGAACCAATGGATATTTGTGTTTTTTGTAGGTTCCTGATGAGGATGACGGGTGTGTTTCAGATCCTTTCGTAGACAATTGCTTGCGTCTAAGTCCAACAGCAGCTGAAGCTAAGCAAAACTTTTTTGCGGGGCGTAACAAGAAGACAGCACCAAAGATGGACTGGAGCACAAAAAAAGAGATTTTCAGCAATTTCTGAACTAAGTAAAATTAGAAAAGGTGGAATTTGAGAATATGGAATGATTTAATCACTCCTCATTACAGGGCTGAGGAAACCAGAGATTCATTCCAAATAGTTTGATGACTCCTTTGTGACTCACAGTGGCGTTTACAGAGAAAACGTGTTTCAAACAGAGACTGTTACAGCGTGTGACTAAGTAGGTAAAACACTTCATGTGATGAACCGTTCGATTGCCAACAGGGCTAAACCCACTGTTGATCTTCTAAATACACTTGTGTAACACCACAACTAGTGGAGTATCTATGGAGTTTGTGGATAAAAGACCTTGTCATGTATAGTTCACATATTGTAGTGTTCAGCTGTTTGGTCCAAATATTTTTCTGTCAGTTATCATTGTCCTTTATCCTGCTAAGAGTAGCAGCTTTAAACAAAGGACAATGTCTTCAGGAAGAGATCATGTGTGGGTGCGTCATAAGAACAACAACACCCTACAAAAAGAAAAGGGATCGTATACCAGGAGATCACGAAACACCGTTTAACCCAGAGCCTGTTATCACGATTTTGTGTGATTTTGGGCCACGTTTTCAGACAAGCTTTATTGAAACGTCTGCAGAGTTGATTTTATTTCAGTGAAATTGTATTTCACTTGTATTTCAGGTTTACTGTCTTCACTTTAAAATACCTATTTTGTATAAATATGACGGGGCCGAGGCTACGTGCATGTTATACACCAGTGTGTCTTAATTTTAGACTTATTGTTGACTTAATGATAAAGTTAAAGAGCTTTTCTTTTAGGTTACATGGGATCATTTTCTAATAAACACACTTAATCATTCCTACTAATTATAAAGTTAAATAAAGAAGTCTTATCGTCTCTCCGATGGTGCACTTCATTTGTTATAAAAATGATTTAATGCTGAATATGCTGACCTGGACCTTAGGTGAAGGGTTTTTTAAGGGGGTGTCTGACAATGACAAGAATTTAATTTGACATTTTTAGGTCACAACACCTGGGCAAAACCCATCACAAATAACAATTCTTACAAATATTACATATTTATGCTAATAACAGCTGAGAATAACGGTTGGCTGATATTGTTGGAGTTCCATATTTTTTTCATATTCATATTCTTCTATTTTTTTAAATAACTTTAATCTTCCTTAAACAGTCTTTAATTTGGGCACCCACATATCGACACATAAGGTATTCTACACCTGGACCAAGTTTTGTCCAACATACAAAATGTACACACGGGTAGTTAAGTAAGACAACCAGGTCTGCTATCTCATGTCTAATACTAATACTGCAACCCATAACGTCTGCCCACATCAATACTGCTGGATGGATACCCATCACATGTACTTTGAATGGATGTACTTTACCTACTACTTTTGAAGAGAATCAGCAGCACTATTGAAAACAGGAAACATGAAGAGAAATGATCAGCCATGGAGCTGCCAAAAAAAAAAAAAAACGTTAAAAAATTAAACCTAATATGCTTATAGATTTTATAAACAAATCAAAATCTATGTCATATTGCAGGCTCAAAAAGATTTTATTTCCATTTCCATCTTTAGAAAAAGGGATCACAAAAAGCAAAATAATCCATTAAAAAACACACAATGTACCAAAGTCTTTAAATGTACATATCACACGCTCTTTATAATATATTTAGTTTCTTTCTTTGTTCCCATTATTTTGTACCTAATTAAGAAGAGATTTTCTTTATTGGAAGATTGTATGTATTAATCTGTTACTGAAGGAACCACTACAGCAATATTAAAATAACTCCATTAGTGAAACTAAAAAAACAGTTTCCCAGATAAAAAACACAATAATTAAAAACATGAAAGAGCAAAAAAAAAAAAATTCAAGTATTTAACTTAAAGTATTTAACTTACTGTAAAATACAGTGGCAACAGAAAAGCAACTGGGTTCTGATTGTCTTTGTATATACAGTCAAGATAGACGGTGTGGTCACAGTCATGGTCCAATCAAGTGCCAGTCCGTCCAAATGTATTCACGCCTGTGAGCATGATATTAATGAAACAAAATGTTCCCTGTTGTCAATTATGAGAGCAGACGCTCAGTTGATCATTTAAATTCTTATTGGATACAGTCATACTGAGATCAATTTAATAGTACTGTAGTAATAATAATACAACTTGTTGTTGAGAGTCCACTTTTGCTCTTTGGCAGTGTCATAGCTTTTCTTTTTTTATATCTCCCATTGTAAATTGAGGTGTACTGGTGTGTAAAGGGCGATCGTTTACTCTACACAGACAATACATATACACAACTGCACAGGCATTCACAAAGAGGGCGGTGGAAACTGACAACAGCATGAATACACTGAAACTAGTGCTGGTTACACACACCTGGTACACCTAGTGTATAAATGATCCAACTATATCATACATGCTCACAAGCTAGCGCAAAATGTCCTTGTGAATACATACTCATGCAGGAAAGTGCGAGCACACACACACACACACACCTCACCAATATGGCAAAGTCAATTATTGTAAAAGTGCGGATTAGTCGCAGTTTCACAAAGTTGTTTTTATTTGCCATTCATTTTTTTGCCAGTCAAAGACACTTAATTTCACAGTGCAATACAGTTTGACAAACACTGACATTAGGGTCAAGACAAATAACATGGGTGAAGTTAAAGGAAAGTTAATTTCTATTTGTACTTACAATCACATAAAATAATGAGTGCAAAAAAAAACAAACTACTGAAACAATCACTGAAATAAACTTTTTTTTTTTTTTGCAGTAATTGTGTAAATTCGGGTCCACATTAGAAACGAATGTCATCAGTAGCAGCAACAAAATATGGACCAGTTTTAAAACATTGTAAAGATAGCAATGACACGGCCAATCACGCTCTCATCACATTAGTTATCAATATGGCATCAAATGGAAACCAAAATGGTTGACACATAAACACAAACCAACAGAAAGACACACAAAACATGGTGAAGGACACTGTGGTGGGGGTGGGGGGGGTCAAGTGTTCAACTCAGTACCATAATCCAAAACAATATACAAGTTATTAGGAGTGAATGCTTGATTAAGGACTTGCAAGCAGCACATACAAAGACAGACAGAAAAAGACACACACACACACACACACACACACACACACACACACACAGAGAACCTCATTTAACTAAGATGTATTAAGATAACAATTTGATTTTTCTTCCTACATTGGTAAGAACCAAATGTTTTAGCCCTAAATCCTCCCACTAAGAGAAAAGTTTCCACAAAGTCAAAAAGAGAGACACTTCCTTCGGGTAGAAACAGAAATATCTCTGAAAGACAGCTCACTGATCATAATGAGAAAAGGGAACAGATAGTGTAGGAATAGTGACTTGTGAGTGACTCCACAGACGAGCAGAGTTCTCTAACCACTAACGGAGAACATTTACTTTAAATCCTATTCTGCGTAGAACAAATATCACTTTGCCCCATACTACATATAATAGGTAATAATAAACAAAAAAGTTTAAATAATATTGCCACACCTTCAGATCATGTAATGCATATGTGTGGGTCAACGTTGGTCTTTCCCCATCAGTCAAGTTACTCTTAACCTCAAGTATCCCCATTTAAGCTCCCGGTTTTACAGGCAATTGCACAGCTTTTTTTTCTTTTTTTTTCTTCTTTGCATTGTTTGATGCCCCGCTCCAATTGGTTTCCCTCAACTGTCTCTGTGCTGGCAGCTGTCCCTGCCTTTCTCTTTTCAAACATGTCTGTCTGTCTGTCCCTCTATCTGTTACTACCTGTGTTGGTTGCCAGCCTAGTTTATCTAGAGGTGTCCCACTGTCCCGCCCTCCCACCCGCCCACCCTCCCACAATGGACAAACACATTGGGTATGGGGGCTGTCCTTCAGGGGGTGTGGCCAATAGTGTCCCTCTCCCTCCCCCCAGAACAGGGCAGTGCAATACACAGATGGATGAGTTCCCATTCACTCTCCTCCCTGTTGATTCACCTGGAAGGACAAGTTCAAATCAAAGGAATCAGCATTACCTTCACACCAACAGGGCAACTGGTTACAAGTAAAAGCATGTGCTGGTACCGCTTGGTTAGGCATGGAGAGTCTAAACACCATAGCAGGCTGCCAGTCTCTCTTTCAGCAGTGGGGGGAACTGCTCTGAGAACTGCAGCCAGTTTTCTTCCCCAACCTGCTCCTTAAAACCATGCAAGATCTGAAATATAAAGAAAACAAACGGCAGAATTCACATTATTCTGGGCGCGTTTGTTCCATAGCGGAACGAGCGGAGCGAACCCTCTTGTCAGTCATCCACTCTTTGTGGGGGGGGAGGCGGGGCCACCAGAATACACACACAGTATGCAAGAACACGGACAGACTAGGGATCAGGTGTTTTGTGCCGAACCAGGTGTATTTGGTTTCAGTGGCACAGCAGTACAAAGCAGGGATTTACCCGTGTTTGTTCACCGCACAGAACTCTCAAGGACTATCAAGTTAGTAGTGTTATAAAGTGTTAACTAAAGTGTTAAACTAGATACTCACCTTATAGAACATTTCTCTCAGATCTTCCTTTGGATTCACCCAGGAGGCCACTGCGTCACAGAAGAAGATGAAGTCCTGAATAAACAGACAAAAAAACATTAGCATTTTTTAAACTCACACTCGTCTCTCGGCAGGCATCCTGCACCTCTGACACAGTTCAATAAGAGTTTGTGGTAAAGCAAATAACCACAGCCGTGTGTACCACAGACAGTGTGCTGTAAAGATCACTGGCAGCACATTTTGCAATTTGTACCAGAGTTTGGTCTCAAACCATCAGTCTCTCTGTGCACCAAGGTGGGAAGACAATTCACCTGATTATTGCCCATGTGATGGACAGGCACTGTGTTCAGAGTGTACGCCATCTTTTGCCTAAACTCAGCTTACAATCAGTTCCTTCCACAACCCTCAACATGTTAGGATTTAAACTTGTACAAACACATACCTGTACAACGCCTCCTGGATTCACCCCAATCATCATGCAAATGCCACGAAAAGCAGAGTCTTTCTCCTCATTGTCTCGGATGTTTCGCAGAGATGTGCACCTGCCGCGTACAGTCATCGTTAAATTAGAAGCTGAACACTTTCTAACCATTTCTATAAAAACATGTACATTAACTCCAAAACTGTATTCATTTAAAAGCAAAGGAAAAAAGGAAGGGAAATGTAGACTTTTAACAGTTAAAAACAATCAATACCATGACCAGTTCTTTCTTTCCCCTACTGTTTTATATGTGTAACATTTTGCACTCAAACCTTTAACCATTTCAGTTTTTAATGGCTAAAAAAAAAAAAAAAATCAATGATGTCATCAGTGACAACTTTATAACTCAAAATAAAGTTTTGTAGGCAAAGCAGGTGAATGCCAGAGAAAAGTGTCTGAATATGTATAAGTTATTTAAGTTGGTCATCTTTTACCATTAAAACTTGTCCAAGTGCTTTTTAGATAAATAAAAAAAAAACATTAGGCTGATCAGTAGTCTGTTACCAAGGCCGAATAAACTGTGGCAGCAGGGGGGCAACTTCCTGGGGGCATACATAACCCAGACGGCCAATAGTTATAGCTGGGGAAAAAAAAAACAGAGACAATTTTTGCTGTGGTTTTTTCAGATACCAGTACAATTGAAAAATAAATCAAAATCAAACGTATATACCAGTATTTTCTAGCAGTGTCTTCGGAGTGTTGGGTCGATTGATGATCTCAACAAGCTGGTTCAAAACCATAGCAACATACGGCTGCATTTCCACTCCTGACGGCGCAAAAAGAATATGGTGAGACACAGAGAATGTACGGAACCCTTTGTAAGAACAGATTTTCTACAACTCACCCATCTGCATACAGATTTCTCCTATGGCCCAGGTTGCGTTGTTGCAGACAGAGATGAACTCTGGGTTCAGATTTGTCCCAAGGATTGGCATGAACTCAGCTGCAGCAATGACAAACATTGTCTTAAAAACCTAAACATGATGTTTTTCATTGCTAATGAAAAAAAATGAAGGAAATTACCAATACACGGTTTGACATGTGGGAAACAAGCCTTAGTGAGGTCACCAAGTAGAGCAAATGAACTCTGTCTTACTTCAGGCATCGTATCCTGAGAGACACAAAGACAAAGAGAAGTAAACATAAGAAGCAGTCGGAGGTGTGAGAACACCCTGAGAAGCTTTAACTTTTACTATTTCATATCATTCTGATCATCAGTTTCCAAGTTAAAAAGCACAATATCAGGAACATTGCTGAACATTCAGGCTTCATTTCACTTGAAAAATCTTGAAGCCTTGGTATCAGTAAAACATGGTAAATACTGACCCCTGGGGGCCCCGGGCTAAATGAGAATAAGTGAAAATGATTTGTGCCTGGAATGGTAATGTGACGAACAGCTTGGTGGAACAAACCACACACTCTCATCACCTGCATGCACTGAAACAGTAAAGTCATGATGTTGCTACGAGAAACCAGTGTGTCCACGTGGCCTCCAAGCCCCTCTGCCAGACCACTCAGAAGGTCCAGAGCTACGATCATGAAGTCCTTGTCTGGTGCCTCGTACTGGTCTGGCTGCTGACTGTACATCTGAGAAACACAGAGGTCAAAGCAGAGGTCAAAGCACTTGACACAGGCTCATGACAAACATGTAATAACATATAGACATTTGATGCATGGCCTGACCAATACATAATAATCGTTGTATGGGAAAGTTTTTTTTTAAATTAATTAATTAATTTTATTTCCATAGCTTTGTATTGAAGCGGGTGGCACACCTGCCTTGCAAGCAGAGTTCGATTCCCAGAGGAACCACATATCAATAAAGTTCTACCATGGTCTGCTGCGACTCACCACTTCTAATATTGAATGTTCCACAATATTCTAATTATCTGAGATGCTGAGTTTGGGAGTTTCATTATCTGTATGCCATAATGATCAAAATGAAAAGAAATAGAAGTTTAAAATATATTTCACTCTAATGTGTAATGAATCCATATAATACACAACCTTCACTGTCTAAAATAATTGTCAAAAAATACTGAACTTGTTTTCACAATATTCAAGTTTTTTGAGCTGCACCTACATATCTGCAAATCATGCTGGTTCTTTAAGTTTGGTTTTAATACCTGGACAAACTGAAAAATATGGGACTATTTTACAAAGCTTGGAGTACACACATCTGGTAGGATGGTGGAGCAATCAGATTTGCTAACAAACATGTGCCTTGGCAAACTGGCCAACGATTGTCGCCCCTCTGTTATGAGTAACTGACAGCGTTTCACCTACCATGGCCTGAGCCAACGTCTTCTGCACCAGGGTGACACAGCGTTGATACACAGGTTCACAGTAAGGAAGAAATCCACTCTGCAAGGCCGTGGCCACAGACGATAGACACTCGAGTAGAGGGAAAAGATCTTTGTCTTCATCCCTTAACTCATTCCACTTGGCTATTAGTGGGGGCATGAGTTTCTGAATGTACTCCTACAGAAAAAAAGATACAGAGCCTTGATGTAGAAAATAAAAAGCATTGGTGTGTCAAAGTCAGTTGTTGGGCTCACAGGCTGGTTCAGGTGGTGTCCCACAGAGTCTGCCAGTGTTCCAATGGCATCATAAAGAATGAGCAGGTTCTTGTGCTGATATTTCCCAAAAGCAAAAACCAGTGTGTCAAGGATGAAACTCAGGTAAGGGACCAGCTCGGTACATGCCTCCTCCTCCAGGGTTGCAAATGCACTTTAAAAGAACAACACATTGACAATTGTAATAAAAAAAAAAGAAAGAACTGGAGTAATTGAACCCATAGAGTCAGAGTCCTACCTGCATGCGGCCTCCTGCACTCTCTTATTGCCATCCAGGATGCGTTTTAGCAGCTCTTTCATTAGAGGTTTCAGATGAGCGTCGGGGGGCTGGCTGACCACCCAATGGGCATATCGGCTCAGGGTCCAGCAAGCAATAGAGCGAACCAAAGCTTTCTTGTCACAGAGACACTGAATGAGGTGGGGGATGAGCTCAGGTAAGTATGGCACCATGCCCTGCATACAGCCTGGAGGAAGGAAAAGATGTTTTATATTATATTTTTATTTTGAAGCCCAGACTCTCAGGCTGAAGAAATTCAAACACTGAAATCTTCAAATGTGAAATAGGTTTTTTAGAACCAACATCTTAATAAAACAAGTACGCGTATGGATACATGAATTAACACATAATTATTTTTTCAGTTCAGGTGAATGTTTTGTAGTTAAAATGTAGTTATGACCTTACCCTCAGCAATGGCCCCCAATACAAGGATGCCAGATTCCTTGATGACCCAGTCAGGATGGAAAAGAAGGTCTTTGAGCAGCGGCAAGAGGTGAGGAAGCAATTCTTCACGGAACACATTGGCAAGAACATCAAGAGCTGCAGCGGAACACTTTCCTAAATAAATGATAAAAAATGTTAATTGCAAATAACCGCACGTAATCTTGTGATAAATGTCAAATCAAATCAGTTTGACAGCACACACACACATATATATATGTATGTATATGTATATATAAATATTTATATATACATATACATACATATATATATGTGTGTGTGTATATATGTATGTATGTATATATATAAATATTTATATATATACATACATACATATATACACACACACATATATATATGTATGTATGTGTATATATAAATATTTATATATACATATACATACATATATATATGTGTGTGTGTATATATGTATGTATGTATATATATAAATATTTATATATACACATACATACATATATATATGTGTGTGTGTATATATGTATGTATGTATATATATAAATATTTATATATACATATACATACATATATATACACACACATATACATATATATATATACATATACATATATGTACATATATATATATATATATACATATACATATATGTACATATACATATATATGTATATATGTATATATACATATATGCATATACATATATATGTAATGAATTAAAATGATATTTAAGTTTCAATTTATAACTAAATCAGTGTGAAACCCTGGCCTGTTTAGATCGACTACGCAACAATCAACTACGGTATCTACGGTATCTAACTGCTCTGAATCGCTCTTTTCTTTTTTAAGCCGTCCGCTGCCACCTAGTGGAAGATTAATTCTTCTGCCTGTCATTGTTGTATTGACAAACGAAGGAACATTTTTTGCACTGAGTTTAATAAAAGTAAGCGAAGGTTGACAATTTTCTACAGTACACCTGGTGATCTCTTTCAGCACACTGGTTGGCCATCACTGTAGTCACAGCATCAGCAGTTAATGTACTTCTATGGCAGCGTGGTGTTTCAGTGTGTAACTCACGTTGTTGTTTTCTCTTGAAAGCGGAAACGTGCATAGACACGAAGTAAAAAGACAGTGAGTGACAGCGTGATGAAAACAAAAAAACTTGAAAGGGACAGCTCTGGAAGACATTTTTGCAACAGACGAAACTGACTAATAATTAAAAAATAATAGTACTGTGTTGACGAGCTGTGGCCTACCATAAACATTAACGGGAATACAAAACTAAAGAAAACAAATGTTCCTACTAACATACCTGCTATTCTAGCCTACCCAGTATATCCGAATAAAGCCACAACTCACTAAGGTTCCAGTCAGACAGTGTATCATCGTCATCATCCTCATCTTCATCAATGTCCTCTCCTTCCTCATCCACAGCCCCTTCGTGTTGCAGTGTGACAGTGCGGGATTTGTGAAAGCGCGGTTTGATATCCTGCTCACTGTCCGGCACGGCCTCGTCTTCCTCTACGTCACCCTGGAGTAATACAGACAACAGTAACTGCAAAAAGGACACATCAAGAGCGAAAAACGGAATGCCGGTAAATGTTTGTCCAAGTGACTTACCTTTAGAAGAATTATGTCGATCTCCGAGTATTTCATCCCATTCACCAAAATAGGAATTAATCTGTGACAAGAAAATTAAGAGGAGTCAAAAATATTTTTAACAATAAATCTTTTGTATTCTTCTAAACCCACCATTCCTTCGTACGCCAATTAGAAACTTACTGGATCAAGTGGCCAGAAAGAGCCTCCTTGCAGATGGGTTGCTCAGCTAAAGTTAGCCAGAACTCACAAGCTTCAAGAGCCACATTCTCATCTGGGTCCTGGGTGCGCTGCAGCATGTACTATATTAGTGAAACAAAGTAGGCAACAGTTAGTGAAGAGTGTGAAAGTGGCCTGTGAATTTTCACAGCTGTTAAATGTCTTTAATCTTTAATGTAGGGTTGAAGACTGAATTACACACTCACCTGGATGATGCTGTGCATGTGTGGAATAAGGCGGTCAATGCGGACTTCTAACAGCATGACAAGAGCCCTGCAAACGTTCTTACGCACTTCACTGTCCTCATCACCGGCTAATGCAAACAGACTCTGTACAAGACAAAAACAAGTAAAGGAAGTAAATATTTTGCATCAGGATCTTGGAGAATAAAATGAAGTGGGATAAATGAACATAAAAATAACCAATCAATAGCAGAGACAAAAGTTTTAATCTTTTTACCCACACCAGTCAACAAGTCAACTGACAGTGGTGTACGTACTGATTAGGCACAATTTCTACGTTACACCTCTTCATTAGATTGGATGTTGGGGCAGGAGGTGAGATCTATCCAAGACCTACTGCATGGCTCTTAACAAATTAGAAAGTCAGTTTAGATCCTTTTATTTTAAATATGTGCTGCCATTGTGCTTATCATACCTAATGAAACTGGCTTATATTTAAAAAAATAAAAGAATTTGTTGACAAATTAAATTGACTTTCTTGGGGTTTTTGTACGCATATTTGCATCTTTGGAGTGTCTATCTACTTCATCAGTTCCCTAGTGTCTCAAAATGAGCAGTTTTGATTTCAATTGTCTTGGGACGTAAAAGATCAGGTGATTATTTTAATCCTGTCCCCTGAGGATCCGTCATTCGCTCTACTTGTATGCGACTGCCGAATCACTTTCATGCCCATCTGAAAAGCTAAGCACAGCTGCTCTGTGGTCTAATGCTTCATGCTTAGGTGACAACTACTGCGGGGCTTACTGAAAACTACAGTGGTTAGTAGAAAGTTCAGAACTACACTGATATGCAGTTATGGTTAACGACTCAACGGCACGCATGTTGTTGCAATGTGACATCACATACCAGCCTAGGTTTTGTGTATGCTAAATGACCATGAGCTATGTTATGTAAACACACCTGCATATGATGTGGGTTATCAACTGTGATAACACCGGGGAGACAGACAGTGAGGCTGACATCTTTCTATAGTCTAAAGATTGTTATTGTTCCTACTGCCCTGTGGACTTAACATAAGAACTGTCCATAAAGCTGTCCTGTGGGCACTCCCACCGTACAATCCACAGACATTTAAAACGGCAATTCTGACTGTAAAACTCACAAAGACACAAAGATCTAAATAAAAAGAGGGTTAAGCACTCACTCACCTCAATAAAGGTGTCAATGTTATCCATCAGGGCTTGAGCTCTACCGATGATGAACTGGTTCACACAAGCAATGGCATGTGACCTAAAAAAGGTAAGCATATGCTAAGGAAAGTACAAATACACATTTCACACACAATTGATAGGTGAAATAAAATAAAAAAGGGTTATACAAACCTGATTTTTGGACTGCAGTGCTTAAAAAACTGGAGGAATTTTGGTATCATTATATTAAGAGGTCTGTTTAGAGCGTCACTGTCCAATAACTCAGAGGAGTCCTCACATATCTTCTGTAGGGCTCCAAAAGAACCCTAAACCAGACAAGAGAAAATCATGCAGAGGTAAAAAAAAAAAAAAAATCAACATAATCATGATTTGAAACAGTGCAGATGTGTGTGTGCATATTCATTAACCTGACCTCACAGGTGTTATAGTCCTCAGAATTGAGCAGATTACAGAGCTGAGGCAACAGTTCTGGCCAGGTCTGCAGCTCTCCTTTAGAAGCAATAGTTGTGATCAAGATCCCTTTAGGAGAAAAAAACAGAAGAGTTGCTTTGGGCGTAACAAAAAAAAAAAAAAAAAGACATCCTTTGCAAATGTTTGAAAAACACCTGCTGCTACACGTAATGGAAAAATTGACACACACACTGTCTAAACTGAATAGCTGCATTAACTCTTAACCAGTCCAAACACAAACACCCACCAATTGTAGCTCTGATAAGTGGTGACGGGTCTCCAATGTTGTTGAGGCATTCTCGTTTGATGAAGTCAGCCACATTACAGGGGAAGTTCTGGTAGTGAGCCTTTACATTGTTCTTCAATATGAGACCACTCAAAGAGCGAGTGGGCTCATCTTCAATTACAGAGACAGGGAAACAATTTATTTTAGTCCCCATTTTATTCTAATCATAAGCATGTTAGACATCCATGCAATGTATATGGAATGGACTTACCCTCAGATTTGAGGCTGGTAAGGACAAAAATCAAATAGTTGTTGAAATCTGGAAATTGATTCAGTTGCTCCAGTTTCTGTTTGATCTGTTAAAGCACGTAACACAGGTTCCTCACATTTTCCTTTTATGGTGAATGAAATAAACAGGGTATCTGTCTAAGTTGACCTTCACTATCTCTGTGTTCAGACTGCAGGTTGATTAGTTTTTACTTTTGACTTTTGAAACCATCCCCCATGAAAACCACTGTGCATTAAATGTATACAAAACTATGAAAATGGGGCTACAACAAAAAACTTGGCTGTATATTTTTATTAATTCAGAAATGACAAAAGTTGGCAAACAAACCAAATAGAGATTTGGATTTACTACCACATATTTAAATTTGCATCAAATGTTCGATACTCCTGCACAAGTTCTGGAATGTTTAAGGTTTAGAACCGGTGCATAATAAAAGAAATAGACCAGAGGTTGTTAAAGATAATGGATTTCACAAACAGGTTGAATAAGAGTCATTAACAGAAACAGCTGTGTAGAATATTTAAAACTGGGCAAGGAACAGCAAACTGTTACCAAGGTGAGGTTGTAAGAGACAATTTGATGCGACTGGAGATTAACCATGGCATTGAACAGCCTACCCGCTGAGTTTATAGTGAATGTACAAGAACCAGAAGAAAGTTGTTCCAAAGGGTCGTTTTTTTCAGTCACTGCATATGCGCCATAGTTATTTAGTAAAAATGCACAAAGCAACTGCTTATAAATATAGTCTGGATGTAAGGATACTTCTTGAATCTCTGTGTTGCCGTATCTGGGGACTGGGAGTCCTTCAGAAGCTGGAGCACTTGCTGCAGACCGTGATCATCTGGATGCCACTCCATTCTGCAAAAAATCAACGAAATGTCACGACCATAAGCGCGCGTACGCACGCACGCACCCAGAGACATACATACACAAACACGCAAGTGTCTACAGTCTAATCATGTGGTCTGCTGCAACGACCACAGCACTTACAGTATTTACAAATTCAATAATAAACCAATGGATGTGGCAGCTTTTTTCCGAGAGGCCCAGTTTGATAGGGGCGCTTTTATCTGGCTAGCAGGTTAGCAAGGCTTCGCTGACTTAATGCTAAACCCATGCCGCTCAGATAACAACTACAGAGCCCTGTCAGTCCTCGTGACAAATGCGTGATCTACCGTGAAATTGCTAGAGTTATCAAGGGACACGGATTTCGATCGCAATAACAGTCAATAATAGCCGCTACCGTTAGCATCAGTAGCTAGTCTAATGTTTAAAGTGCCGCATAACGTTTTACCTGTTAGTGCAATGTCGCACAGCAAAGCTTCCTACAGACGACTGTACAGTTACAATGCCACAATTAACATTAAAAAATGTGTGACTCCGACGAACTACTCCAAACTTGTGATCTTAATAGATGTGCGCTGGAGCCCCTGGGTATGTGACACAGATTGCACGCCCTGCAATTGAGCCGGGTAATCGGCTTGATCAAGTTCGGCTTCCGTAGTCGACAGAAGGTTGATTTGATATAAATGATAAACTGAAATTGAACCCACTGACCAAATATTTCTCTCATCTAACGCAGTACGTTGTTCATGGGCTGGAATTCAAAAATAGGGAATAAAAAATCCTATCATCACAATTTCCTCTCTCAGGAGACGACATTACTTCTGGAGTTTTTTTAAAAACGTTTTTGCAGTCGCAAATATATTGTATTGGTGTCTTTTGGTATAAAACCCTTTTGTGTTGCTTATGTTGAATTGATATTGTTGACGTACACCTAGGTTTGCCATGTTTGTTAGTTGAGGCGTATATATATACATTTGTAAATGTTATATCTTAATAAAGCTTAATAAAACGGTTGAAGAAAAACCCAACAACGTCACATACAAATTATTAAAATTATAATTCCGTTAGGTGCACCTTGAAATATATTATAAACAAACTTTACATTATATAAATAAAATCTGTTTTTAATTTCACATTTCTAAAGCACAATGCATGTAAGCAAGCATTATATGGGTGGCAACTTGTGTATGCAAACAACAAACTCTATCCTCTTCTCATTATAGACGCCTCCTATCAGTAAAGAAAAAAAAAAGGCGTGACACAAATGTCTCCTGCTGTATGGGTGGAGCAGGAGGTAGAATTATTATTAAGCACCTGCTTTTCCATGTCACAAGCAGTTGAAAATTAAATGCCTTGATTTGAGACACATTTCATGATTTCTGGCAGATACAACATATGCTTAGTAATTCAATGTGACACAGGGTACTGTAGGTAGACACCCAACTCCTGACAAGTCAAGTCTGTGTGACATGACCTTTTAAATTATCTTTACAAAAAACTACAACCACAACAAATGAGTTACTGGTTTATTTTAACAAAATAAACAAATCAAAAATGGCCTTTTTTTTCTCCAAAGTGAGTAAAAAAATAATATGCAACAAGAGGCTGAACATATTAAACATGTAAAATCCTACAATGCACTACTTTCATGTGGAAGCTGTGAGCTGCACATATGTAGGCCTTTTGTTTTAGATTTAAATTATTTCAAAATACAAATACTAAACACAGACCTCTAAATTAAACTCTCTAGACGTAAACCCCAAACCAGCATTGCAGAGAGTTAGTTTTTGATGAAGCCAAAAATGGCTTCATGTATAAACAAAAATACACCCTTTTCAGTCCAGCTCCTGGTTTTCAATTATTGCATTAGACTTAAAATTTGGGATACAGGACACAGTACAAAAAAAACCAACCCAGTAATCCTTATGATGAGTTTCAAATAGAGAGAACAAAGGACCAAGGTTTATAATTAGTGCAGTATCTTCTAATTTAAAAATGTTTCTGCATACTGAAGATGAGTTCACGACATGAGGTGTGAAGACATTTCTCCCTGTTTCACTGATGGGATTTCAGCCTCTTTATAATACAATCCAGGTGCATCTGTCACCATCCGCTAACACTTGTAGAGATGAGCCTGCAATTCAATCAAAGATATATTAGCTAGACAAATTCAAAACATAGCATGATTTCACACTTGTTTGTACCTTGAACACATTGGACTGTTGGTTAAAAGGCACAGAATAGCAGAATAGACTCCTCAAAAAAGAGTGATATGAGGGACTTCATTTTCATTTAGTGATTAGGGAAGTGGACTTGGAAGGTTGCAGGCTCGAATCCACCAGCTGCCAAGTTACCACTGAGGTGCTCTGAGCAAGCACCGTCCCCACACACTGCACCCCAGGGCCTTAAAGCTGCCCACTGCTCACTTTGGTGATGGGTTAAAAGCAGAGGTCAGGTTTGGTTGCGTGCAGTGGTGAGTGTCACAATAACAAGGAGTTCACTTTCCTTTCCTTTTACCACCATGTGATCACCGACAACAGCAGTTTTTAAGTGGGAGCCACTAGAAGGGGCCTCAAAAAATTGCCCAGAAATAATCTATCATTTTTTATTTTATTTTTACAGCCATTTGTACCAAACCATAGAACCATTACGACCGAGCCTCCAGTTCTTCATGTTATTTAATACTTTTTTATGCTTTTATGTGTGGCAGAGGATGTAGTAACAGTACAGCTAAAAATCTGGAACTGAAACTACTCCTGAGGCCATTGTCAGAGGCTGATCAGTGTGAGTAACAGTGCACGAGCCTGGGTGTGTAATGGACAGCAGCAATCCTCGTTACAACACTATGATCACTTCTGCTTTGTTCTGTCAAATGTTAGCTGATGTTGAATTCTAACAGAACTTGACAACTTTAAAATAGTTTCCCCTTTTTTGTCAAATACAGTCAGGAATTATTTAGCAAATCCATGTAACATGTAATCCAAGTAATAAAATGTAGTTGAATCATATCCACATAGGTCTCCAACCAACTGGAGACACAAGGATGGTCCTCAGACTCAAATGTTGGAAAAACCAGGAAGTAAAAAGAACAATATGAAAACTGAATCCAAAAGGACATGTCATATGATAAAGCACATCTTCATACCTGTAGCAATGTGTAAATATTGTACCCAGAGTGAAAACCATGAAGTACCAGTAACTACGAGTAGGTACAACACGCACCTTTGTGTAGAGCTTCGTTGGTCATGCGATTTATATATCGGGAGCTCCTCTCAGGGACCAGCCACTTCATGACTGTGTTCACGCAGGACTTCCTGTAAGAACTCCACACACTCCCACTGATAAAAACAACACCAACATCCATTAGTATAGAAGGGTAACATTTGAAGTATGAAGGCAGCGGTTTCTTACCTGGTCTGACCCTTGACCTCTGTCAGTTCTCCCACACCCATAGTGCAGCACACACCTGTGTTTAAGTCCCAACTAACTTGCAGGTTGGAATGGTAGGTGTTTGGTCTGTAAAAAAAAAAAAAAAAGATGAAACATAAACAAACAGGAAAACTAAAGGAGCTTTTTTTATTTTATCTGGTAAAGACAAACACCTGCAGTGTTCCTTATCTGACTTGGAGAAAGCTAGTAACAGCAGACCAATATTAATCACCACAACGTTGGTTTCCGGACATACCTGATACACACACACACATCAAAGAGTAAATATAGAATTTGAAGTTATGTTTTCTTAATAATATGCTGTATGCACGTGCATTACTCTTACTTCTAATATGACAACATCATAGTCACTGAAGGAACAGAACTGGGCGGTCCAAGCAGCATCACGTCGGATCACCTCATTGATGAGGTACTCAAAATCTAGGGTCAACTGCTCCACACATACACCCTGCAGGCAGGAAAAAGAGAACGTCAAGTCACATACAGAGCAACCTCACAGAAACTGACTATAAATGATTTGCAAAATCGTGCCAAGACCAGACTTCTTTCCACATCAGACAGATTTATGCCTAATTAGGGTCATTTGTAGGTTCATTTCATCATATATAATAAGGATTGATCAGATAACGTTTGACAACCTGTTGGTTATAACATGGCAAAACTGAAAAAGTAATTACCTCTATAATTAACAGTGGTGAATACAACAAAGAAATATTGTGAAGTCTAATCTCAGAAAAATCGTAAACTGGGACGAAGATTATGTGATCTAACAAAAAATTCTAATTCAATAAAAAAGAAGACAGCAGAAAGAAGGGGTCAATCTTACAAATAACAGACAGGTTACATGTTTTGGATGAACTAACAAAACACTTCACAGGGTATTTGTGTCATAGAGACATGAGTGGGCTGTGCTAGAATATGATTTGGTTTTCTCACGACTGGCAAACAAAATGCTCATCAGCTGGAGTGGATTATTAAATACCCCTCACCTGTCCATTGTATGGCCCAGTTACCAGCTGCAGATTCTGCCCTTTAAGATCAGTAACCGTGAATGGTAACTGGACCTTATCATCTTCATATCCTAAGTATAGAAACAGATATGTAAACAAGTTTGCTATTTGGATTTGGCCTGATTTAAACCAAAGGCTTCATGTTTAAAAAAGTGCATACATTCATAATAATAAAGTTGAATACTCTGAAAACTGGAAATCAACTTTTTTGTACACGCAAAAGGAGGTTCACGTACACCCAAATCATTGTGCATGGAAGCGCACCAAAGCTTGTGTTCTGCTCATTAGCAGCGTATAACATGTATTTGGAGGCCAAGATTTTCCGAAATCTGCAATTTTTCAGAGATATTTTGCCATCATGTGGACAAAACAACACATACTGAACTAATTAAGTCAGTCTTATTATTATTTTCCTATTATCAAAGTTCTTCAAGGTTTCAGAGTATTAAAAAACAACTTGGGAAAATAAAAGAACCTCTGTAATGTTTATATTTTATCACCATCATCATCATCATCATCATCATCATCATCATCTACGTATAGACCTTATATTCCTGGACTTTTTTGCAGTAAGACAGATGTGTAAAGAGGTTGTCTGTAATGTCAACAGCAAAAAATGTATTTTGTCTGCAAAAAAAAAATCTGCTCAGTCGTAACTTTTTTGTGTGTATGATGTGGTAATACAATCTGCCATTAGGTGTCACCTGTACTCCTCTGTGGTGTCCCTGGCTGCTGGGGGCAAAAATGCAGGAGAGAGTAGTTTATGTATCCAGGCTCAAAAGAAGAAGCCTCCTGGGACTGGACTTGGTTTAAGGGGGATGAAGGTGTTGAAATAGCATTTTTATCTGAACTGTGATGGAAAACTTTGCATCCGGTGGATGTTGATGGTAAGTTTGTTGGTCCTTCATTATCCTTCATTTCTCTATTATTTTCTTGTTGTTGAGTCCTTTCTTCACTTGTTTCTTCCTTTTCACCACAATCTACTGCTCTCTTCTCTTGCGGGCTCTCGGTTTCACTGGTGCTGCTTCTCTGCGTACATTTAAAGACGTGAGCTCCCACATGAGCCTGTGTTTGGCTAATTGATGAGGGCATTATTGCAAGTTTGCTTGGTGGATTTTCATTTTCGAGAGATCCATGAGAACATAAGGCAGAGGTAGTCGGAGAAATGGGGCAATGAGGTGCAAAGGCCTGACTTGATAAAGTTCCTTTCTTGGTGTAGAGAATCTGTGAGGACTGGCCCTGCTTACCTTCAAGAAACATACAAAAGAGCCAAGTCATAGTAAATAGTAAATAATAAACCTATTGTGTGCATGTTTGCGCACACACAGATTTCAAACTAAAGCTGTTTTCTGTTTATACATACATACAAGCACTGTGGGCAACAGGTCCAAAAAGGGGCTCAAAAATAATCCGCTTATGAAAAAAATCATTATTGCAACGATCTAAATGGTAAAATATTTCAATTAAAGTATCTAATCTATGGACAACTGGAAAACATTTATTATTATTTATTTATACTCATAGCTGAAAAAAGGCATTATTCTGTGCTGCTGTGCCCCTCTGTTCTGATCAATGGCCTGGAACCTTTACTGCCACGAGCCACTGATGCAAAACATCAAGAGTGCAGAGCACTGACTTCTTAAACTTCTAGAGCTTAATAATTTTCAGGATCACAGTGGACTGGAGACAATCAAAGCAGCCGATGGCCAGGGTGAGGGCACTCTCAGGACAGTTTGGCAGTACATGGCAGAGCCAGAGACAAACAACCACTTACACTTAGATCCATACCTATGGTCAATTTTTACTGTTAACTTATATAACCAAACTGTATGGTTTTGGACTGTGGAAAGAGTCCCCGGAGATAAGCCTTACAAAGAAATTATCAACATTATTAAATTAAAAATGAAATAAATTCAATAAAACAGAATGAATGATGAATGAATGTTACCTGGCCAGAGTGAGATACCACAGGCCACAAGGGAGTAGCTTGTGTTTAACAGAATCACTTGGTCCTTTTTAAGCTGGAAAGCTGGCTGGAAGGTAGGAAATGGATAGACCACTTGGTATCGGCTGTTGATCACATAACTATGTTCAAGACATTCGCCACTTCCTGTAAACAGACAATGATTTGAGATAAAGGGAGAGACAGAAGATTACAGATGCATTTGTGTGTTTACCTTTACTGATGTTAGAGGCCGAAGAAACTGAGCAGAAGTGAGGGCAAGGTTTAGGAGGAGGCATCGAGGCAATGGTAATGTAAATATCTCTGTTGTTCTCATCACTCATCATGAAGTTTGCCAGAATAGAGCTGGAACTGCGTGTACTATTGAAGGCAACCACAATGACATACATTAACTTTAAACAGCAGTGTCATAATATGTTAATGACTAAAAAACAACAGGAAAACAAAAACAAGAAATTCTGTCATTATAACGTTAAACATGTACCTAAATTAGAGAAAAGTCTAAATATGTACCAGTCTTGTGGATGTTTACAGAATTGGGTCTGATTGGTGTGTGAAATAATGTTTTACCTGTCTTAAAAATAAAGTACTTATTTTTCTACATACCTCAGTTGGTATGTAGAAAATTATTGCATGAATGGCTCCTCAAAGAAAGTGAAACCAGAAAGACACAAAATGTATAAGGTACACCAGAAGACATAGACCGTTCAACTGTACTGTTAACATTTATAGACCCAACCGACTATGACAGACATAACACTCAGGGACTTTTCTAGGGTCACTAGGCCTACTATCCATAGGAGACATATATATAATATAGCAAAGATGAAAACAGAAGAACAAAATTAAGCAATACCAAGGCTGAAAACAAATAAGGCACCAGACACAGATTGATGTCCATTTGAATGGTACAAAACATTTAAAGCTCAAATAGCACCTATGACACTGGAGAGATGCTGTAATCTCCTTCATTGCAAAAAGAAAGAAAATGCTAATAAAAGTATACAAACCAATATTGGCCCTTAAAGTACACAACACAGATCATTTGCTTCAATTCTATCCAAAAGAATGGTATTCATTGACCAGGAGCTGGTTGATTTGGACTATACAGGCCTAAGCACACAGACACTGGACAATATCCGGAGAACATTACAATTGATAAGCCATATAACTTCAGAAAATATTAGCACAACTTTGGTCAGGGGGTATCAAAAAATACCCCCAAAACAATTTGTCAGAAAGACAGACAGCTGGACGATGTATGGAGATATGTGAAACATACACAGCTACTGCCTGCTCAAGATCGCTGAGAGAATTTGGCTGGAAGAACATAGCAAGATATTTTATCGCTCTCTTTTAAACAGAACAGAGGCTTTTTTTAAGCCAACATAGAAAAGCTATGGCTTATCATTTTCAGGTTGTATGGGCTTGTCCAAAAATTCAATTATTTTGGAGGGAGGTGACAACAGAAAAACAAAAGATTGAAGGTGGCGCTAAATGTCTCTGTCATTTCGTTATATCTGAGTATAATATCTGAAATGGTCCTATACAGCTGAAGCTTGTAAGATGTGAGAGTTTTGAGATGGTCTACTCAAAGTCTTGAGCTTAACCCTAGTTAACAATTGAAATCCAAGTAGGGGCTCAAAGTAAGGATGCCTTCCAAATTGAAGGACATCAAGGCTTTGGAAAAGCAGACCACTCATTTTTACAGATGGGAAGGTCAATTGTGCTCAAAGTGTGCCATCTAGTGGGGGATTTAAAAAGCTGTATTATGGAGAAAGAAAACCTATACATACTTATATTGCAGACTTGTTTTTGTTTTAATCAATATTTGCTGGCTGTGGTTTATCCAAGCCTGCTGTACTCTGTACCATTAGACTAGTTTCAATAATGAATTGGAAGTTTTCTTTAAAAAGAAAACTTTCAAAAGCAGCCAATTTGGACTTTTACATAGTGGACACATTTTTTTAATTTTCATTTCAAACAGGTCACAATCTGATTCCTGGTCTTGCCTCAAGACTGATAATACTTCCCATTGTATTAAAAGGTACCACTGATGTGAAGACTTAATATAGACTTTTAGACATATACATATTTTAAAATATTTTTGTTTAATAACAGAAGTAAATTGGTCAACATGTCATTTTAGTGTTATAAAATAGTATAAAAAAAAGTGTGCTACATTAATTAGTTCAATGTATAGCTGTAGAAGGATGTATTCGATACTTACTTGAAGCCAAAGATGACAATTTTTGAGTGGTCATTTGGCCATTCACACACAGTTAGGTACAGTTCACTGTAGATTTCCTCCCCTCCAAACAGACGAACATGACGGACCTAGACATAAATAAGCCAAAAGAAATCCCAGGCAGGTTAGAAGTAGGCAACTAGAAAAGCATACATGTGGTCTGTTGAATTAAATGCAAGTTTTTTTAATATGGCCCTGCTGACTGAACCAAAACACAGAATCCTTTACCTGTCTGAGTCTTTTGTGCAGATTAAACTCCCACCAGTAGAGTTGGTAGGTATAGAAAGAGAAATCATCGTCTTCCCCACAGTTGCTGGTGTAGGACAGAACGTAGCGGCCACATTTGGTGAATCCAAGAAAAATATGTCTAGAACCAGGAAAGGTTTAACTTAGACATTTTTTTTATAATTAATAATTACAAAACTCTACAATATTCTAAGATTTGGAGAATCCACTCTTAAGTGTTGTTTATGTAACACAATATAGAATAATAGTAAAAATAATAGTAAGACTGCTTGCCTTATAAGTAATTAATTAATTGTGAAATTAATTATGTTCCTAACATGACAATAAACATGTCCCAGGCAGTGGTAAATTTTGGCTGGGACAACATATAAATCACTGTTTGTATAGAAAAGTAAAAGTGAGAAAACCTGAGAGTCAGATGATATCAAATAAAACAGCATTCATCTTGGAAAATGCTCTGAATGCTCTGTAAACCACCTCATATGCGTGGACATGCTTAACAATAATAAATTCTATGTACAATTTAAGACTTAAGTTAAGTTTTTGATTAAGAGTTTGGTGGCAGGTTGCCTTTACAATACCATTAAGAGTCGTATATTCCACTAGATTCAAACGTCCTTTAACCAAAAATGTGTGTCATACACTCTTGATAAGAAACAAATAATGGTACAAACACTGACCCTGATCTGAGGATTTCTTCACTGATAATATTTTTTAAGGGGACACACACTCGAGGTGGTAGTTTTCTGAAGAGGCGCTGAGAAAACTGTCCTGACACCTGCGAAACAGTAAAAAGATAAACTTTAGGAACACAGAATGTGAAGAAATGGGTCATATAGTCATTTATTAAGAGTGCGTTTAGGGAACATTTGTAATAATTTGCATGTTCAGTAAAATGCTGTCGCTATTGGAAATGGTATTTCTTTTTAAGACAAATTAAAAGTTTTGTGTTAGCAGCTCAGTAGATGCTAACGCAGTGTCTATGTAATCATTTCAAAATAAAGTATTACTCAATTACAATTACCCATGCTACAAAGACAAGGTTTGTCCAAAAATATTGACCTAATAACAACCCAGACATTTACAAATAATTCAACTTAGCCGCTCAAGGTGATTGTTTCCATGTGTTTGAATTCTCTAAGAGAAAATACTATACGCAATTAGCTGATAGCAACTAGCTTAACACAACAAAGATCTACTAATCCATACTAGTACGACCCGGGACGCTTATTTACTCAGACGGGTATGTGGACCTACCCTGCCATGCATGAGCAGCTTTACGACATGGCCTTTTTGTTTTCTTCGGGATTTGTATTTGTCCCTGGCCTTTTCTGATTTCGAGCTGGGCGCCATCACTTTACACCGGGATTCCCTCGTTGGACTCACAGACGCGGTGATTGGTCCAGAGGCTGCACGAGACTGCCCTCTCTGGATGGCGGGTGCATCCATCAGAGCAGACAGTGGAGACGCGTTGTGTTACTTTAGCTAGATTTGAAATATGTTTTTATTGATGTAATTTATAACAAAGTACATAGTCTCTGATTAACTACAACGTTTCTTGTCGCTGTTTTAACGTTCCTAGATATGAGGCAATGATAGTGCAAATTTGTCCTGAGAAAGAAAATTGTACCACCATTTACACACTTAGATTCTTGTATTGTAGTTTAACAATAATGACGTTTAAGGATGTAATGACATACGCAACTCACAATACGATATGCGTTTGTTTTTTTGTTTTTTTGGTTCACAATACAATTTTATCACAGTTTTTTTATAAACAAAATGACCTCCAGGCAAATGAAATACAATGATCCTTTATTTGTAAGAACTATTAAAAATGACATTACCAAATGAAATGGTCCTGTGTACCCCATATATTATCTTAAATAACAGTATACAAAAAAAATCATATTTTTTTTGGAGAAACACTGCACATCACCATGTATCTCCTCTTATTAAAAGTAAAACAAAAAAATTAACATCCTTTAGTGAAACAGTGCACAACAGCAATTATGTCCTCTTATTAAAAGTAAAACTGGTCTGGTGTTATTTACCTCGCTAACTGTCAATTTAGTAAACAACATAAAACTATAAAAAAAAAAAATAACTGGAAAGTGTTCCCTTCTGTACAGAAAGGCTGTTTGTGTCTGTGGAAGGAATTCTTCCCATGATATTTTGAACACCTAGATGTTACTTAGGCTACATAGGGACTTGAAGTCTTGGTCTGACCGCTTCCTTTTTGGGATAACACAGACTACTACTTGTCTTGCTGCGCGATTACTTTTATTTTGCAAATTGTCATACATGTGCATCGACTTTTAATCGATTCACGATGCATCGTTACATCCCTAATGATGATGAATGTATACCATTATCTACATGTTCAGACTTTTATAAAAGAAACTATCCATGCAATTTACACTCAAAACTGTTCTTTATAGTTTTATAGTACCCTAATGTGTTCTTTAACGTCAGTGACAAATAAACAAAATTTTTCATTCTTAATTTTAAAATTTTGACCAAGTCTCTTTATTTTCGTATTGAGTTCTGAACATTGAGTAGTCATTATTCCATCATTTAAGTAATATTTATTAAATCCAGCTAAATGCCACTTCATGTTTTAAATAATAAATACAGCTGCCACATCCACATGCATTTGTTTACATGGCAGACCCAACCATCTATGATGCAAACACACTGAGGTATTGCAGCAAACGGATAAGTCATTGTGTTGTCTAAGTATACAAGGTGAGTCAAAGGAGTCAGCCGAGTGGTTAATTAATTCAAGTCCTTTGTTTGACCTAAAGGTGAGACAGAGTCAGTGAAAGGTGATGGTGTTTTATATATATATTGTATATAAATAAAACTCTTAGTTATAGAACTAACACAAACTATAAAACTAACAAAAAAAAATATTTTACCCAATAGTTTTAGGGGAACAATTTTAAGAAAAACCCAAACCAAAAAGCTGACCTCAGTCATACAGGTAAATAGTGATTTTTATTGTAGCTACTTAAAAACAAATTATAAAAAATAACACTTAAAATTAAAATGCGAGAGTCATCAGGACTAGAAAAACACTTAGGTACAGACCATAAAAAAAACTTGAAAAAAATAATCCAAACATTTTGTAGAAATTAAAGTGTTCAATCAACCGCACAATCACACATGCACACACTTTTCTAAGCATACAGAGACTGCAGAAAAATAAACTCAAATGAAATAAAATAGTTGTAGCAAGATGTACAGCTGCAACTTAAACACTAGGAATGTTAAAATATGAACAAAAAAAAACCAGACCATTTACTTACAATAAACCCACAAAGCTGTGTTGCTAAACATTTACGGGAAAAAAAGCAAAGAATTGGTAATTTTTTAGTCTGCTGCAAGCATGGAAAAACGTCCCCCCTCCTTTTTTTTTTATTAGAAAAAACTGGGAGTTGGGTCAAATATCAGGGTGAATGTATAGATCAATGCCTTGACAAGTCCAAAAAAACTGTCTTCAGAAAAGTAGTCCAGAGAACAGTAACAGCTGCCCAATACGCAGACTCATTTACTGGGCCTGAAAAGTGACAAAAGAAAACATTACTCAATTCATGTTTGCTTTGTGAAGTAAAATGCTCTTGCTCAAGTATTTACATTTTAGTTTGGTGGTCCCTGTGTGCAACAAATTTACTAATAAAAGTTAACTAACTGGATTGATTCAACCCACTACAAATAAAACTATTCACCATGTAAAATAGATAAAAATTTTAAAAAACTTACATTTATAAAAATCTGCATTCAATTTCCATTCCAGAGAAATTTCAGGTGCCACAATTGTGTTGTTTTTCTCTTAACTCTTAAATATGTACAATATACAAACAAACATTTGACAATGAGGTTTAATATATTGGAAGCAAATGTAGCACTTTTTAACCAATTAAATGTTTTTAATGTGACTATAATACTCAATAATAATATATTTTTAGACGACTTTTAAACTATACAATATGTACTTGTCTTTTAACTTTCTTCCTTTTCTAAACATTAAATGTTTAAAACAATAAAATAAACTTATAATACCTGTAGTCCTGGCTACTGACAAGTCCCCTGTCCAGGAGCTTGCCCTGTCTGTTCATAATAGGCAGCCTGCTGTCTGTAGTAGTCAGCCCAGGCTTCACTGTAGTCTTGCTGGCCTCCAGCTGCACCTCCTCCTGTTGCTGCAGGAGCAGCTGCTCCCCCTGCACCCATCTGGGCTGCAAAAGAACATGCACAAAGTTTAACAATACCGTACATTGTATGAACAGTTAGGCAGGTGATTATTTTGACCTAACCCTAAAAAAAAAAAAAAAAAAAAAAAAACAAAAAAAAAAAACATATTTACCAACTCCATACAAACAAATGCTAATCCAGTGTCTAGAGTTTGGATTGGTCCTTTTAATTTTTTTTAAGTTTGACCGTTTATAAATTTTGCCTTTAGCTTAGGTAAGAACTATCAGTCTAGACTACTCAATGGTAACAAGTATCCAAGAAGTAGGCAACTATACAACTTGTAAAAATGGTCAAATCCAAATCAAAAATAAAATATTGCTGTAGTTAGAAATGTACTTTTGTGTTTTCAGAACTCAAAAGTACTTTGTCTTTGTTGCTGGGATATTTATGATCTGTTCACTCATTCCAGTTTTAAAAATGATTTCTAACTTACTCATGCCCATCTTCTTGTAATACTCTTCCCAAGCCTTGGTATAGTCTGGCTGCCCTCCTGAGGTCTGTGCTAGCTGGTTCTGGTCTGCCACTGTTGGAACTCCTCCTGCTGTCTGGGCTGGCACAGCACCCCCAGCCTGTTGGCCGTTGTTATACTGGGCATAGTACTGAGCATAGTATGCTGCCCATGCAGCATTTGGGTCTACTGCTGCCTTGCCTAAAAAGGAGTGGAATACGTTAATACATTTTACCAACTTGGTCACAAAAAACAAATTTGAGAGAAATATAAATAATTGGTATTGTAAAATGAGGAACACCAAATAAAAATACCTACTGGAGTCATGTGAACCCGGGGCTTGCCACTGCTGATATGCATTTCCCCAACCCTGATAGTATTGAGGACCTCCAGGTGCTGCTCCTCTGCAGAAAGATACAGGACAGTATACATAAATGCACAGTTGTGTTCAAAATAATAGCAGTTCAACATCACTAATTAGCTTAACTAATGTTTTTCGTCATATTTCTACAAGGGAAAGTTATACATTAAAAAAGAGGAAATAAGGAGACAATCTAGCAGTACTTATAAAGTAAAAGCAAACATGTTGCTGACGATGATCAGCTCATGTCCTTGTAGTTCTGCTAATAGCAGATAGACTGCATCTTCCTGCACTATCATATTTTAGCTATTCAAAAGCAAAGTTATGATTGTGACCACATAAGTGGAAGAAAGGCAGTGTCAGCGTTGTTTGACAGCATGTCTGTTGGGACTTGTCAGTGGCTGTTGCAGATAAGGAGGAGTGAAATCAATTTGCAGCTGCCAAGTTGTATTGTGAAACATATCATTTTAGATTTGAGTTTGGTTCAGCTACATTTCTGTGAAAACTTACTGTGGAGCACCACCAGGAGGACCTGCATTGTATGGGTTAGGATTATAGGGACCAATTGAGCCACATGGCCCCCCTGGACCAGGACCACCTATTGGACATAGTGGGCACTGGACAAAAATACAGACATTTAAAAATGGCAATGCATTACTCTATGTGCAACATAGTAAAGCTTAAAGATATGATTAAAGTATACCTCTATCTTTTCTTCTATCAGCTGTTTCGCATGGTCAATCTGTTGTGGGGAGCCTCGAATGGTAAATATTTTAAAATTGGGATCACCATTTGGTGGTGGCTGATTGGATATTTCCACAAACGCCCCAGTCTGTTGGTTAATTGACTTGACATTTTCGCCTCCTCTGCCAATAACAAGCCCACATTTGTGAGCCGGAATAGAGAAGGTCATCCCTCCCCCTGGAGGACCCCCCCAGTTTCCTTGACCTTTTCCTCTCCCTCGTCCTCCAGGCGGCATCCCTGTCCCAGGACCTGGAGGGCCCTACAACGAAAAAATGTTTTGTTTGTTATAAAAGCCTTACATACAAAAAATATATACATTAACAAATAGTGGTCATCAAACTTACACCCTCCTCTCTAGCACGGATGCTCTGAAGCAGATCAGTGATGACTGAAGCAGCATGCTGACAAGCTTCTGCTGGACCCATGATGTGAGCAATTTTTTCTGGACCTGTCCCATCATCTGTAAAGCGGTACAGTCACAGCCCAGTTCAACAGAGTGTGGTTTAAATAAGAATAACATAGGGAAAATTCAATGAATGTTTGGAGAGCTCACCTGGTTTAAACTGAATTTTAACTCCAGTATCACTCTGTATCTTCTTTATCATCTCTCCACTACGACCAATCACAACTCCAACAGAATGGCGGGGCACGGCAAACTGCAAAGAAGCAAAATAAACTTTGGTAAATTATATATATTTTGTATCCGGAGGGAACCATTTTTAATTACAAAAAAAAAATTCTTACATCAATGCCGCCACCACCTCCTCCAATCCTTGATCCATATTCATTTCTTTCACTGAAGCCAACATGATCTCTCTCTCTTAAAATCTCATTGACCATTTCTTTTGCTTCCTGCAGAAAAGATACAACAGAATTTCGAGTAGGAACGTACACATAAACTTACACTAAACATGCTGTATAAACACCGCTAACACTCTCATATTTGTACACATAGTACCGGTATATTTTATAGTTACGTATTCTGTATAGGATTAATTCTACAAAGATAATTTACAGTACATAAATTGCAGAAGGAGTGTATCCACATCCAAATTTGAAAAGGAAATGGGAATTAAAGCTTTTCCCTATATCATTTCAATTTAATTTGAATTAAAAAAAAAAAACGTGTGCAATGATTACAGATGTGGTTAGAGATAGGTAATACATAAAGTTTAAAAATATATTGATGCATTTTTAATTCAGGATATAGAATGAAATCATCCTTTATACTCATCTTTGTTTCTCTTTTTCTGTCCATCTTTAAATTCAAATATCAAATCACGCACACTCTCCTTGCTCCACCCACACCCCTCACATTGAGCAACAACACAGCAAAACACTAGGTAAGACGCTAGTAAATTATAGGTGAGGAGAAAACTTTAGTCTGTTAAAAACAGGTAATATTATTATTATTATTATAGTCTTTATTGTCAGTGTAAAACGGGAATTCGACGAAATTGAGCCTCCGCTTTTAACCCATCACCAAGGTGAGCAGTGGGCAGCTTTAAGCTAAGTCATGTTGTTGGCAAAATATATGATTTGGAATATATGGTTGAATCATCTTGTGTACCATTTCTTACAGAAAATATCAAGATATATATAGTATATTGTATAACTTTAGCTCAAAGTGTTCCATGTGGGCGGCAGAAATGTTTTTTGGTATTTTTTGTCGTTTTCACGCTATTGGTTGAAAGTTTATTGTCTTCATTGTAAACATATTCCTTTGTAAACTTATTTGCCTAAGTTTGAAAACTACAATAGAATTGTCACACTCCACATTGTTACTCTTCGTTTGTCCTCTACTGACCTACTGCTTACATGTAATGTAGCACATGTACGTCCCAAACAGAGTTCTATTACATAGGTCAGTATAAGGGAATACCCCATCATCAGATAACCAATTAGGTCAATATACAGTAGGAACCAATATCTGATGTTAATATCAGAACAGTGCATCTATAGTCATCTCCATATCAATTAGGGATGGATGATGTCGATTTTTTTTAACAGAAACCAATAAGCGACAATTGTCTGGTCCCAACTGCCAATACCTATACAATAACAAAGATTTTATGATTTCTATTCATGAAATAATAATCTGCATATAACCTTTTCAGAGATGCACCAATCAACCGGTCAGTGATCGGAATGAGACGATTTTCAGCATGATTAGCCCTGGCCAGCGAGCAGCTGGTCAGCGTCATTTTGCGCATGCGTTCTGTGTCGGAGAACAGGAAAACAAGCTCATACTCCAAAGCTGAAACTACCATTACGTGAGCTTTGTAGTACTTTACATAGAGCCAAGAAAGATTCTGCAATTTGTCTGCTACTTCATTTTACATGTACCTATTTGTACCAAACGCTTCAGTTTGCCTACACATTGGCCGTTTACATGAACTTGTGAACCTTTTATGCAGTTACAACACAACTAAAGCTTCTGTTACAGTAGTCAGATTACCTGTACTTTGTATGGGTCTCCAATGATACGAAGGGGTTTGTCCACATTTGGTTGCTGTGATCCATCTTGAATAAGAATCATTTTAACTCCAGCTCGCTCCTAGAAATGTTTTCAAACAGTATATTTATGAATATATTTATTTTTCACCCAGTAATTACATTTACACAAATTATATAAGAAATTGGTATATGTAAACTTTAAGCTAGACGTACACATTTCAAAGTTAAGCCCTGGTAGTACACCAAAAAAAGCTTCATCTGACTCAGAGGTGACCTCCTGGTAACATTTGGCATTTTATGTTTAATGCAGTTGATGATAGACTCCAATAATAATTTGGACTTTTATTAAATGTTTAATACTCTTATTTACAATTTAATGCATTTAGAATGAGTAACCCAACCTCTTTTTCTGTTTATACAGATCATTCCTTCAGGTCTACCTGGGTTTTGCAACAGATAAGCATTTAAATAAAAAACAAACAAACAAAAAAACAAAAAAAACTTTTCACCTGAAGTTGTCTGATGGTCTCCCCTCCTTTGCCTATAATAAGTCCTGCCTTGCCAGCAGGGATGATGATCTCCTGCATGGAACCGCCCTGCCCATTGGTGGACTCATGACCCCTGGATACAATGTCATCTATTAACTCCTTGGCTCTCCTGAAGACAGATAAAAGGAAAGAGAAAGAATCAATAAATAAAAGCCCATTACTACATAACCTTTGGAGACATATTAAGAATATTAATTTGTGTTCCGTGGTAGATTGGTTCTTCTACATCTGATTCGTTGTAGCTATCCTACTAAGTCATGATGTGCTCAAAAGACAACGTCCTGGCCTTTTGCTTGTTTTCCTGCTAGGACAAATGGAGACTCCAGCAAAACGCAGGAAAAGACAACAAGTGAGTCCAATTTCTTTTTTTGATATCATTTTTTTAGGTAAAGAATTATAAATTGGAGTAAAGGTTTCACATTCCTTTTTATGAATATCAGCTGTAACTTTTAACTTATCCAACTCATCCATCCTTACTTTTTACACTTTTGTAGGAGGTAGAACAACGGGCAGATTCAGATCTGGAATTGTTAGATGAGAAGAAAAAAAAACCCTCGCACTGAAGATGCTTAGCTCAATAGGTGAGGCAGAAGGGTTGGATGAGCTGACAGTTACAGACCAACAGCAAAACTGTTGTCCTCTGTGGGCCGAGACCAGCTCACATCATAGATTAGTAGATAGAATGACGCATATACAGTATATATAAAATACTGAGTGCATTATAGCTTTGTGCTTACTACCCAGGCTTCTTTTCTGTCTCAACCCAACGAGACTTAAGAACTGGAGCAGTATTCACCACATTTTACAAGATATGGACAACAGTCTTCAATGATGTGGCAACATTCACAATCAAAGAGAGCTACAGAAAACCACTGCTAAAGAAATGAGGGCCTTCTTTACCATGTCAGTCCAAATGGCCTGCCTTGGCTTTCCAAGAGTTAAAAAGTTTTGGGTCCGCACCAGAGCGTCACTGACAAAATCCAGGTCCAATTGTGAAGACCCGCTGTCATTAAGGAGTACAACGACAACACGGTGTGAATCTCTCTGATCACATACTAGTTTATCTAGCTTCTGTGTGTGACTGCTCATTTTTTGATGTTTCCATCGAAACTTCCTGGATGCATTAAGTCTCACAGCATAATGTTTACTCCATCAGCAAAAACAGTGAACAATTTCTGGACTAACAATTGCATCTGACAAAGGAATTCAGAATTCAATTAGTAATATTTTCAGGTATTCCATTTTCTGTAGTCTTTGCATGACTAAATATATCTATATTTTCTTAAATATTAAGAGATGGGACATTATACAAGCACATTCGTTCTTGCTGATCATGCTTGTACTTGCACCCTATCTCTAGAAAGACAAGGGGATTGTATGAGGACCAAGACACTCAGTAGAACTGTTATATATGCCTACTGCACAAAAAACATCCATGAATCAGAAAAGCTTCCTAGCCAAACATTCTTACACAGATGTGATCACTAACTTACTGTATGGCATCTGGTGATCCTGTCAGAGAAATACCTCTTTCTGGAAGTCCCACAGAGTCTGTCAATCAATATAACAGCATGTTAAAGCAAAGGCAGGTGAAATCCCTTTGTGCTTTTTCTTATAATGCACGTATCTTACCATGAGCAATCTGGACCTTACATCCCGAATCCTGTTGTATTTTGTTTATCTGTTCACCACCCCGACCAATGACTTTTGGGATAGAAAGAGGCGACATTACAAGGTTGTTTGACCATGTTATACTTTTTTTTGCAAAAAACAATGTGTTTTTAAAAAAAGATTTTTTAAAGTGAATATTCACCGACTCTTATGAACAGAGACAAACCATGTACCACAAGTGGAATAACAAAAAGGAATTGTTTTGGCCTGGCTACATCGCATCTTAACTGATGTGTATTTTGATTGGTCTAAAGATTGCTGCAGCACTTACATGAACAGAAATCTTTTTCATACAGCTGTGTTTTCTAAATGTGCTCCAAATGGATTTTTAATCTTTACTTAATTTATGGACATAGTGCAATTAATCGCAGATATTAGCTCAATATACACACACGCACACACACCTACAGACACACACAAGTACACATGCGCACACACACATTTACTGACCAAGACCAACCATGGCATCGGGCACTTTGTATTCTTCCGTCATTGTAGAAGGCCTAACACTGTCAAAAAAAAAAACAAACAAACCAAATTGTTAGTAATTAACAGGATAAAGTCCTTCTCTGAACCAAAGGTTAAATAGAACAAAATAAAAACAACATACCTCTGCTGGGACAGGGCAGCCAACTTAGGTCCAATAGCTACAAAAGAAACAAGTGTTGAGTGGCTGAAAAAACTGAGCAAATTGATTGTTTTTTAACAGGATAAATGTGAGCAGTACACTTACACAATGTAAAATCTCTTTCAGTCTGTGAAGCTAGTTTTTTGGCATCAGGTTCATCTGAAATTCAAGAAAAAGCTAAGTATTAAAATGAGATATTCAAAGAGTATACAAATCTTTTTGTAGGGATGTTAACCTGCTTCTTCCAATGAACGCTTCTGTGCTTTAAATGGAAAAGCCTCAGCTCCAGTGTTGTTACTTCCTGATGAAGCACCGTCTCCACCAATTTTAGCTGCAATCTGCAAAAGGGTTACCATGTTATGAAGATTTCAGGGTCATGATTAGCATAAACTAAATTATATTAATATAATATTACCACTGAGACTGTCTTTACAGAAAGTAACAGTGCAACGTTATTATTTCTCCATTCCTGAGCTGAGGTCTCCAGTACTCCTGAGTGCCTCTTGCCATTTTTAACATTTTATTTAAACACTATATTCAGAAATGTATTTTTCTTCATGTTCTGTGTCTTACACCACTTTTGATCTTAGAAGTAATCTAAGACAATACAAATCAACGGAGAACCCATTAAAACACAGAAGCTGCAATGATTATTCCTTCTTTAGACCATCTGTAACAGTCCTGTGATCACAGTGGCACGTGAAACAGTCAATTACCTTCAAAGAAATGTTGAATGAAATGTCCAAATCCCAATCATCTCAAAGTCTATTAATTTGCTTAATGACAACAAAAACTTTATTTTCAAATGTATCTATGATGCGACATCTTCCTTGAACGTTTTTACTGTGCTTTAAAGAAACAAAGTAAATCGTGGTTGCTTTTTGTTTTCTTTCTTAGACGTTAAAAATGCCTGCAATTTATTATAGGAACGTGTTAATTTCCAGCACTGTGCTGAAAATTCCATTGCGCTTCAATTTCTGCTAAAAATCACATTTTAATTGACTGGCCATAATGTGATGCCCTTTTATCTTTTGATCATTAAGGACCAGTGAGCGCAGTGAGCGGCTTTGATCTTTACACTGGTTGCCGTGGAAATCCGAATATGGACTGGATCAGCCAGTGGCAATGACTGTAAAAACAACGATTTAAATAACTATATGTTTATTATTACGAAAAAAAAAACACGTATATTATGCTTTTGTCATACGAAATAGTAACATTATTTTACACGGTTATTGTTCTGTATCAAATCGTACTCTGCACCACAATACGGTAGTATGCAGGTCTGCCATGTATTTAAAGCACATGAACATAAGTCTGAAAAGAATATTTGCGATTAACACTGAATCCCAGTTACATATCGTAGATGCAAGAACCGAATGCAGACGTTTAATTGTTTCTCATGACAAATGAGAATTTATCACGACCCAGTTACCGTTAACCATGCACATTCAAAGTTACTAACTTAGCTTAAAAAGCTAGCAATTTTATCTCACCCAGAGGTGTCTATTTACAACTATAACAACTGAATACGGTGCGAACTAATCTAGAAAACCGGGAAGCCCGCAAGTATTTCATATACATAAAACCTGCTGCTTGTAGCTAAGCGGGCGTGCTAGCCACTTCACAACAGCTAACGTCATTGGCAAAGAAGCTGCTGTATCCTCGCAGTTCACAAGCTTTCTTCAAAAACCTTTTATTTACCTGTCTGGCTCGTTGTACCGCATCCGCAAATGCATCATTTTTCATCCCAGCGCTTACTCCGTTGGACGGAACACCGCTGTATTCAGACATGCTATGTACAGAGGCTAAAAAGACACCGAGGACAGAATGGTTTGGCCGAGTCGAGTTGCGCTAAAGCGGGAAGGCTACGCGAGTACCCAGTAGGAGGGGAAACATCAATGAGTGCCAATAACAAGCCGCTACTAAAACCACACATTGGTGACCTCCGAGTCCCCCCTCCCTTTGTGTTTGACGAGGCGTTGTGCAGCAGTTCACGGGGGCGTTACCGCCCCCTTGTGGCCTGGAGTGTGAATTTGAAGTCTAAGTTGAAAAACAACATTGTGATCCAAATGATTCTACATGGATGGTTGTGTATTTGTTCGTAGCAGTCAGGATGAGCGACAAATTAAATTGCAAGAAAAATGATAATCGTAGACCTTTACTTTAAAAACAAATGTAAGAGATAAATACACACCAGACACACTATTTACAATAAACAAGTCGACAAGTTTAATTTGGGGATTTTTAATTTGGAAAAGATGTGCAAAACTGTCCCTGATGATGGGAGCTAAAAATATTTTTAAGTAAAAGTGAAAATGAAAGTGTTGTGACACATCAAATGTTATATGCACATACATATGTATGTCTATATGTGTATACACATACACACGTGGTTAGAAAAATGAATAAATGGACTGGGTAAACATTTCTATTCTTTTATTTTCTTGTACACAAAATAATTCAATAAAAGGATAATACAAGGTGTTAGTATTGATCTGTTGAGTCCACAGAAGAAGCAACAACAAAATAAATCACTATCAAGTATTTCTATTACAAAAATTAGCCCAATTGGTTCTCAGACCTCTGATGCTCACTTTTTACACATCATACATAGTTTTGACAGGTATTCACACTTCTATAAATAACCTTAACAACTTTAGCAAAGCAGTTTTAGAAAAACAACTTGAATTAAGTCCATAGCTAAAAAAAATATTTTGATGTGATGCTTCAAGACAATCCTGTGGGATTGCCTGTGGGACAGGCTACACCTGCAGCTCAAGAGAGGGTGTATCCAGTCCTATCAAGAGCTTTTTCCTGGTTGGGCTGCTTTAGAGATGCCTTTGACGTCAGGTGTTTTAACCACATTTAGTGGCTTATGGAGGGAAGTGCTGGCCTTCTGAGTCACCTCCTGCTCAATTTTATTCCGGATAGCAACCTCCAAAGACTTCAAAAAGCATCAATGTTATTGTTGGTAAATGACAGAATTGAAACTGAAATGGCTGATCGCTTTTCACAAAATCTTTCTTACCTTTGTGAGTTTCTGTTGTTTTACTACCTTAGCCTTTTTGGGAGCGATGATCCGTCCTGCATAAAAGAAAAAAAAGTTAACAGTTGAAGTAGTAACTGATTTGCTAGCTTTTGTACACAATTGCATAATCAGATAGATTTTCACACATAATTTATAATAAAGTTGCCCCACCGAAAAAAAACAAAGCCATTAGTATGATGCACTTTGGTATGC